TACATTGAGTAAAATTCACCCAAGTTAATATGCAGTTCTGCATCTTTTGACAAATGCCCGCAATCATGAAACACCATCACAATCAAGATACGGAACAATTCTATCAGTCACTCAAAATTCTCCCACGTCCCTTTGTAGTCAGCCCACGCCAACCTCAGCCATAACCTGTTTTCTTTCTCTGTAATTGTACTTTGGCCTAGTCCTGGTTTTCCAGGATTTGTCACCTGCATTTTTTAAAAATTTACCATTATCATAATAAATGTACATGATTTTAAAGCTCATAATGCAAAACAACAGTCCCTTCCCAACACCTCTTGGTTTCTGATTCCACTTTGACCCCTTCCACCTAATTTTTTTGGCATCTACCTTTTCATTTCTAAATATCTGTGCTTCCATTACTTGGTATTTCCATTTTTGTTTTGGGTTTCATTTTGGTATTCAGTTCACTGTTTGGTATTTTCATTTTTATTAATTAACTCTTTGTTATGCAACATAAGGATTTCCTTCTTTTGTGCCCCCCTACCAACCACACATGAACCCATCTGTTCCTAATAGAGACCTTGCAGTATGGATATTTTTTTGTTTTTTCGATGGTTAGTGTTTAGATTATTGTGCCTATGTAGTGTAAGCAGCAGAGGATGGGGAGTGTGACTTGATTTCATTTCCTTGAATAGTATGTTTTTGTCCAGAGGTGTTTAATTTCTTTCGGTCTTGGGTCTCTGTGCACCTACCCCTATTTCATATCTAGACTTTCTGACAGAAGTGTTTACCTCCTTCTGATATGTTCACACAAATGAGATCATTTTTTTTACTGGATTCATTCTTCATACAATCCTCAGCCCTCCTGTTTCACTTGGGACAGGTACATGGTCCTGTTCTGAGATCGCCTACATCTGTGTCAGGCCCAGAAACATAGGAACTGGTAGGCCTTTCAGCAGAGGTAGGGATAATATACCTATGTGCATAAGTACAGATTAACATGTATGTTAATTTTGACCTATTTTGAGAGTCATGAGTCGCATAGATACCTTCACTTGCCACTCAGCACCGCAGTCCTTTTAGTTTTCCCTTCCTCGTAACTCCCCTCGGGGGCAGAAAGAAACCTGGCTTCCAGTATTCTTAATGTATTTTCTTTTTTGACCTATTCCCCAGTGGTAACCAGTCCCCATCCTTCTTACCACACCATCTCCCGCCAGGACGCCCTCCTCAGCCTGTTCACACTCCCACAGCCCGTCCTGGCTCCCCTCCCACGCCCTGGTCCTGCGTGCGGATGCCCACTTGGGCTCTGATGCCCCATGCGGCCCGCACCCCCACACGGACGCTCACCTTGCTCTGCTCGGGCTCGACGTGCCCTGCAGGCTGATCTCTGTGTGATGCCTCCCCCGTCCTGCCCTGACCCTCGCAAATGCCTTAGGTTACCAGGTCCCACCTACTGGAGCTGCGCTCGGCTATCCGGGAAGGGAAGCAGAAGGGCCAAAGTACGTCCCTCGACTCTGTCCCCCACTCCTCACTGTTCTCCTTCTGTCAGCCTTCCCGTATGAAGGACTCATACTGTCCACTCATCTGCTTAAGCTTAAGGTCTAAGTGCCCTTGAATATTTGCCTTCCCCTGCCATTGCTGGCTTTTCCTGTCTCAGTCATGAGCAGCTCCTCTTGATTCCAAATGCCTCCTGCATGTTTCCCTCTCACCGTGCCTACTAGTCTCGCTGAGGTTCCTTTTCCCACTATCTCACGTCCTACAATCCACTCTCATATCACAGCCGGCATGTCTTTTAAAAGCGTAAGGCATGGTGTCATGAAGACCTCCAGTGGCTTCCCACTGTGCGTAGAATAAAATCCAGATCCCTCCATGGCATCTATCTCTGGTAATCAATCCTGGCTGCACATTAGCATTTCCAGGGGAACTTTTTTTTAGAAGCACTAAGCCCCTGAGCACTACCCAAGTCCAATTAAATCGGAATATTTGGGAATGTGACCCAGGCATCAGCATTTTTAAAAGATCCCTGGTGAATCTACTAGGCAGCCAGGCTTGAAAATCATGCCTCCCTCAAACCTCCTCCTTAGTGTCTTCTCCCCTTTCATGACTGGTTCCCCTTAGCTTCTCAGTGTGACCTTTCCTTGATCACCTCAGCTAAAGTAGTTAAGTGATATCCCATCACCAGTCATTCTCTGCCGTCTTAGCCTCCCTGGGCCCTTAGCACTATCATGATCCGACTATCTGTTTTATGTATTCCTTCTTTTTTTTTACATTAAAGTGTACTCTTCATGATAACTCTAGATTTCCACTAGAGTGTGCATGGTGCCTACACTAGCACTTTATAAATATTTGTTGAGTGACTACATGGAGAGGGGTGCAGAGCCAGGTGAGGGACCCTCATATGGGAGCCACAGAGGGTGCAGTAGCCAGACATGCATTTGATAGATAAGGGGACATGGAGCAAATGCCAGCGTCCTGGCTGATGTAGATGATCTAAGAAGCCAGGTACATAAGCAGCATTGACAGTGGAATTAGAAACCCTCTTATGTTTTCAAGTGAGAGGGGATAGATTTTTGTTCTGGATGGGGGCGGTCTCAGGAAACAGAAATGACCGGTTTTCTAAAAGGAAGAACCAATCTTAGGTCAGAATCACTTTTGATGTTCACCATCGTTGCTATAAACTACTTGTTCATTCTATACCCTTTTTGTTTTTGAAGTGTAATCGGCAGACGTTTTATTAGTTTCAGGCATACAACGTGACGATCTGGTATTTACATGTGTAGAGAAATGATCGCCACAGTAAATGTGCTTCATATCCATGGCCTACATAGGTACAATTTCTCTCCTTGTTCTGAGAAGTTTTTTAAGATTTACTAACTATACTCACCATGCTGTACATGACATCCTCCTGCTTATAACTGGAAGTTTGTACCTTTTGACCTCCTTCACCCATTTTTCCCACCCCTCGCTCTCTGCCTGTGGTGGCCACCTATCTGTTCTCTGTATTTATGAGCTTGTAAACTTACTTTTTGAGACTGTCCTTTCACCGAAATATAGGTAAGAATAACCCTCTGGACTCCCCTTCCCCCACCATTCCCTTCATTTTACAACGTACCAACCTAAGAAAGCGTCTGCGGTTCCAGCCAGTCCATGTCACCGGCTCACACTGACCATAGCTGCGGGTTGGTATTCTCCTGACCACCTCCTCACATCAGGACATGTTCAGAAGCCTAACAGCATGTTATATTTAGCTGTAATGATCTTGTTTTAAATACTAGGATTAATTGGAAAACTGTGTTCTTGCTAGTATCACCACCCAGGTTGTACCATACCCCTTGCAGTTATTAGCAATTGAATTTATGGAGTCCTGTATATGATACAATTCTAGATTATAAATAAGGTTCTGCTACTACCTAATGCCAAGTGAAATGAACGAGCCCCTTTACCAATTCAGTGTGGTAACTTTGTACCTTTAGATGGAGGTTATACACAATACCACAATTCCAGAGAAGACTTGGGAGGTAAAAAAAAAAAAAGTTTTCAAAAATGACAGGTTTAGGAGGCATAATTCTGTGATGAATCGTTGTGCAAAATACTGTTTACAGAAGTACAGATAAATACCTCTCTGAACGTAGAGCACAGTGTGCACTGTAACACTGTGGTTTTATGGGACATGGAGAGATGAGACTTACTTGGAAGAGATTAAGGTGTGCTTTCTCAGCTTGCCTCCCCCCGCCCAGCCACAGGATGCTTGCATGGCATTCATTCATGCAAAGCATTGTCACGTGAGCAGACCCAGGTGCACACAGATGGCAGAGACTTGTGAGACGGGGGAGAAATGTTCAGCTTGGTCTCCTTACTCCTGTACCACGCTTGTCTTGTGCACTTGGGTATCTTAAATTAGGAACATCATTTTCCATTCAAATGCCTTTTTCTCAATCCTGGGCCTTGACGCAAACCTGTCACGATTCCACAGCATAATACCCTATGCGTCCCTGTAAAAAATAGCCAAGTCCTTTCAAATTGTCGATACTGACAGTTTAAAAATTTGTGAAAATAATAGTAGTAAGTCTGTACCCAAAGACAGTAAATTCACCTTTCCTCTTGTAACATGTCCAAAATAGATTGTGTGTCTGTTTTCTGGATGATTTCATACAGAACAAATTACAAGAGAGTTCTGGAACCCTACTGGCAGATGCCTAAAGTTTTCATTGCAGTTTACATCTACTCACATACCTATGTGGCTGCTTTGCACATAGGTACCACTTACAACAGGGTTTACTTAGGCAAGGTGACCACATTGATTCCTGAAGGGAATGAGGAAGATGATTACAGTGACTTACCAACAGTAAATATTTACTCTAAACATTTCTTTGTGGGCAGATTAAATTGTATACTCCCTCTACCCAATAGAGGGTGGGAAACAGCCATAGGTATATGTGTATTTACCGGAATTTTTAAAAAGAAGTTAAAGCCTCTACTTAAAGCCTCATCAAGCCAACACATAGAACTTACAGCATTGTCAAGAATTATTGGAAATGTCGTTTTGTTATTTATTTGTTTCAACTTTTTTAGCTGCAAATATCTGTATTTGTAAGACTTGCTACTCCAATTTAAAATTGTTCTGGAATAGTGGTTCTTACCTTGGGAACTTAGAAAAGAGAGAGAGGCTATATGCATTATTTAAAAATATTTTAACAGTATGAGGTGACATGTAGAAGGTACATATATGGAGGCTGAGCTGCATTCTGTCTGTGTTTTGTTCTATCCTTTCTCCACAGGCGCAGAAATGAAGCATGGCTCTCAGTGAATTTTAAATTCTTTCTTTATGAAGAAAATAAAGTTCTGAAATAGATCTGGATTTTTATTGGGTCATAAACCAAAATGCACATATATTCTAACACATTTTGTGCTGATTGTCTCTTGGATTCCATCCCAGTGTTCTAGCAGAATGTGATATGTTTTGCTAATAGCTTTCTCTGATCTCAGATAACATGAAAGATTGTTCTCTTATACCCTGACAGGTTGGTACAGAGGATACACCCTCCAAAATAAATCTAAAAAGGTATGGTTTGTTGTTCAGTTTTTTAGTATGAAATGTCTGCTGGTTTTGTGTTTGTGCTGTCTGATCCCATTATCTGCTCTTTGCCCTCTCTAGACCTGTTTTCTCTCTTGGGTGGCTATTCTTTAGTTTTGAAAGCAAAATGTCTAATCTCAGTGTTCAAGTAAAATTGTGCAATTCCCACTGACTGTCCCACCAGCCAACTCAAGGACAAAGGCCATAGGTGAATTCCCACCCCAGGAAGGGCCTGTTGAGGTTTCTTGCTCCCCGTCCCTCAAGCTCACTGGGCTGGGTGGTGAGACAGTGACATTGCTGTCATTGGCTCTCTCTCTCTCGGGGAGGGACCCGTGTCTCTTTATCCCTTAGTTTCCGTGCTAAAATCCCAGAACTAAAGGGTCTCCCCATTTCCACTGGATTCCTCCTTTGTAAATGGATAAACCCAAGCAGTAGTTTTCAAACTGCAAATCACACAGCTGAAGTAATACGTCATGAAAGCAGTAGAGTGTTTTAGAACCAACCTTTTTGAAAAGCAGAAAAGAAAGTGGGATGCCGTGGTAAGAACTGTTTCAGGAAACTTTGGTTATAGGTACATATTTGGTATTTTCTGTATAGCTAAGCACTGGGTTGCCATGGAAATGTATCTCATCGTGGGCAAAGAGTTTGAAAAATCCTGACCCTAGCTGGTTCCTGTTTCCAGTCCCAAAACTACTGATCATCAAGCTAAAGAAAATCCATTAGTTAATACCCCCCCTCGGTTTATTTTAGATCAGGTCCGTGAATATCCTTTGGCTCTGGACTCTGGGGCAGTATAGCACGTCAGCGTTTTCTTTTCAAAGAGCAAAGTTGATATGGCTGTAGTACTTCACAGTTATTTCACATGCAAAATAGCTGATAAAGAGGTGAGAGAAACATTTAGAATTTATCAAGAGTAAGTAAAAAAAAAAAACCCAGTTCTTAATTTTCAAACACGGCATGAGAGAAAAGAGACCCCAACACACAACTCTCAAACAAGCTCACAACAGAAAAACACCTTTTTTTGCAGCAAAATGTAGGCCATTTGAACCCAGGGCTGTCCTGGTCAGGCTTTCTGTGGGGTTGACTCTTAAGTCACACCCACTATTTGCACAGGTATGTGAATACACACACACTTGGGTAACTGACAATTTAATAATCTACCAAAATAAAGGAGCATTTGTTTGTCTTTTTATCCATCCCCAAGACCTGATGCTGAATTTTTCTACCCACAGTGAGCTGCTTGTGCCACTGTCTTCATCTCCAGCCTAATTGTTTTCATTTAAGCTCCTGCTGACTTTTAATTTTTTCCAAGCCTCCTGATAGGGACCTAGAACAGCAGCTGTTACGGCTGATAAGACTAAAGTAAAGACCTTTCCTTCAGGATCCTTGTTAGACAAAAACACCTGGCTTATAGCCACTCCCACTGCTTGGTTTGGGTTTAACCCCGTGGGTGTTTGTTTTACTTGCAATTATAGAAATGGTAATTATTTCAAAGCCTGATTAGCATCAACGGTTTTGAAGTGCTAAATTTGTTAAAGAGCAAGAATATTTTGGTCACTTGATTCCCAATCCTTTAAAAAGAAGTTAACTTAGAAAAAATGCATCAAGATCCACTCTCAGATAGGATCCAATTTGGAGAACAAACAGTATTCTTGAGTTCTAACTGGTGAATGTGCATCATGTTTGAGACAAGATCCCAGCACACAGTTGTCCCCGTCCTAGAGTCCACAGTACCAAAGGGTGCTTCTCGAGCACAGAAGGCCTTAGTGTCTTGGGTATCCTGTGATGTCCTGATATGTTGCAGTCCATCTAACCAGCACCCTTGTTCTCTGCATTGAAAAGTGGACGGGTAAATGCTCCATTAGCATCCAAAGAACAAGTCCTGGATGTATTTTTAATTTTTGTGTGTTCATACTCTTAAAAGACTCTTACCTAAATTTAAAATTTTACCTGTAGAGGAATTATTTCAGTAAGAACTTCTCTTAGTTCTTGATAATGACTTTGTCATTTGATGGAATGATAGTACCAACAAGGGCCATGTGTTTTCTTGTTGACTTTTAAGTTGCAATGTCTTCCTGGTGGCTAGATTCCCGAAAAACAGAAGGAATTCAAAGTCAGTCGTCATGAATTATGCTCAACTTTTGACACCCCTTCATTAAGAGATCCAGCCTATCTGAAATGCTCCCCCTAATGCTGTTGCCTCTGTTTGCCAGTCTTTAGGAGAAGAGCTGTCTGAAAGGCCTGTTATTTTAATGGAAATCTGTGGTGTCACTTGTAAGCAGACCTAGCCATTTAGAGCGGTGATAAAATAAGCTAGTGGTTTTACAAAGAGAAGAAGCCAAGAGCTTTGCAGAAACTGATTATTGATCCTGGCAGGATAGTGGAAGTGCGGATAAGAGCACTATCTAGAAAATCATTATTTTTTCTTTTTTACCCAAGTGAGTAGGGTGCATTGAGAAAGGAAGAGTGAAATTGAGGGGTAGGCTGTAAATCAAAACTCTATTACTCAGGTTTATTCTGTCTTCCTGTGTGTCGTAATGGCCTAGGAAAAGGTCTACAAGCCTCAGATTTACCAGAGCAATTAAATGGCAGTAAGTAAGTGGGCATATGTTGTCATGGAAAAATGATGCCCACAAATAAGAGTGGTTATACAACCAAGTAAATATTCTCTTACAAGAGTCACCAAGGCTGTCCACTCAATATAAATTACCTGCTGATGGTCTGCTTAGATATTGTAAGTCATTTTGTTTATATTACAAGTGTTTCTATCTTGGATTTCTCCCAATTATGAGAAGACCAGTCTTCAATTTATGAATGCATGAAAATTTTAATTGATCCTGTACCTTCTCAATTGGAAGAATCTTCCGCAAGGATATTCCTTAGGAGTAGCTTTGTTCGATCTTCCTTTAACCTTCAGATATGGCTCACCGTAACTACTATTTTAATTGATTTGTCCTTACCCAGCACTCCACTTTTTTATGAGTTCTAGGTATTTTTTAATTTTGTAAAATATAATGTAAAAGTTACTGTGTTAACCATTTTTAAATGTGCAGTTCAGGAGTATTAAGCACATTCACATTGTTGTGCAGCCACCACCCCCATCCATCTCCTGAACGTTTTCATCTTCCCAAACTGAAAGCCTGTCCCCATGAAACACTAACTCCCCATTCCCCATCCCTCCAGCCCCTGGCAACCCCCGTTCTACTTCCTGTCTGTGAATTTGACTGCTCTAGGGACCTCAGGTAAGTGGAATCAGACAGTATCTGTCCCTTTGTGTCTGGCTGGTTCACTTAGCAAACCATCCCCAAGGTGAGCTCTGCACAAAGACGGTAGTCAGCAGGACAGTCACCTCAGCTTAGCAGACAGAAGAAACCCCCAGAGTCCCCTGAGCATCTTAAGGACAGATCTGGAGCTTCAGACCTCCAGAAACCAGGCCCAAAAGGGATTAAACACACATTGAATATCGTCAGATTTTTTATCAGTTTCCCAAAGTCCCTCTGAACCCTGTCCTGTAATGGAAGAGGTCAGCATTACTTTGCCCCTGTGTGCGTTCTGGGCCTTCCTGACAATGGGATTGTTCTCCAACCCACACGCCTACACTAGCTGTTTTCTCAAAGCCAGGAGGGGAAGATGGGTGCTTTATTTTGGCTCTTCCTGCCTGGAAAAAAAGGATGCCCACTTTGCTTCTGAGTCAAGCAGTGGCAGCATCCGCCCTGTTATCACCAGTGCTGGGAGCGGCTCCATCTCAGGTTTTCTTGTCATTTCCTGTTCTATTGGCTGAGGATTACAAGGAAGAAAGAAAAGTTGTACACGGATAGGATAGCAAACAAAACCAGATGCAAGGCTGACCTCAGCTGAAATGTCCTAGTTCTCTGTCTAGTCGGGACAGAGGATTGCTGGGTACACAGCATCCTCGGCCCAGTCCCCAGGGAGTGGGACATCGCCCACCTTCGTGGATGGCCACTCCGACGTGGAAAGACCACAGAAGGCGGAGGGCTAGGAGTAGGGGAGCCGTGGTGTCCATTAGACATGGTCCTCCCCCACCGCTACTGGTCTGGCGCACAAAGTGCCACGAAACGGAACAGCAGGGCCTCTTCCAGATGGCAGTTTCTCTGTTTATTGATGAGCAGATGACAAGGGGAGCTTTGGGCATTTAAGAAAGTTCACACCCATGACCTGCTTCCTATTGGTTAGACCTGAGCTTCAGTTCTTCCCTTCCTACCAACCAGTTTCCAGGCTTTGTTCTAGATCTTTCCAGGTCTTAGGTTCCCCAAAGGCAATGTCACAACAGTGAGGTAGGAGTGTCTCTTAGGATCGAGATGCAGTTTGAGACTGGGAAGTGCTAAAAATAGCCAGATAACTATTACTAATTGATTTGGGGCATATTTGGTGTGAGTGAAAGGGCTGAGAGGAATTACTTTAGAAAATGATGATAATTTTATGGGGCCACTAATTACAAGCTCTCCATTTCACTCATTATGTGAAACCCTTTCAGGGAAGCACCTCCAGGCACAGAGGACCTGCAGGGGTTTCAGGGTCTCGCTGTTCAATCCTCACGGTTCCTGCAGCTCTGAGCCCACTGGGGCATGTTTGCCTATTCATTTACGAAGCATGTATTCTGTGCTTTCTGAACCCAAACTTTTATTTATACTTTTCAGAGTTTCAGCCATGCTGTCATCTGGGTAGCCAGTCAGTACAGTTGGTCCTCTAAGCATGACGTCAGCCATCGTCATTCCTAATGCCATTTGTGCTTTTTCCTTTCGGCTGGGATTTTTATGGCCCTGTAACCAAAATTCTTGTCTCTGTAGGGTATTTTCCCTGAAACATACATCCATTTGAAAGAGGCAACTGTGGAAGACCGTGGGTAAGTGTCCATCTAGGAAGAACTCCCAACAGATGATGAAGATGTAACATCATCATTAAAGAGCGCCTTCCGTCCATTTTTTCTCTCATTTCATCAGTTCCACTTCTCGTATGAGCAAGAAATGAATGGACACTTTTTCCTGGCATAATTCCTTCTACAGCTCTTCTTCCCTGGCATCCTTCCCCAGAATAGTAAGATAATGGGTCACAGGAGGGCCTTTACTTTCTTCTCGCACTAATCGCTTACCAGTGGAGTGCATGTGTATGCACACGCACATGAACATTGGGTGCACTTTGGCTGATAAGACCCAGGAGCTCCCAGTTTGGGAGCTTGGGGAGATAGATAAGCATGCTACACCTGCACTGATCAGCTTTGGACCTCGGATAAGTTCACTAGCCAGAGTGCACCACGGGTTTTTCCCATGCAACTGGGGGGGAACAGTCTAGTCCTATATTGGTCACGAGCTTGATGTGAAATTATGATATAATGTGTGTGAACATGCAATGCAGGTAAAAACCCATTAAATTTGAGGTTTTCTTATTTCTTGTGCACCTGGAAAGTAGTGGCTAACAAGACTGAGACGCAGCCCAAGGTGGGAGAGAGAGGCTGTTTGGTTGGTGAGCCGACAAGCAGGAGAGTTAAGGAGAGGATGAAGGGGGGCCTGGAGCAGGACGGGGACCCCAGGGCCAATGCCGTGGAGTGGGTCCCAGAGCCATACAGCCTCAAGCTGCCGAGAACATTCTCAGTTATAAGTTCCGCACTCACATTTGTAGAGACTAGAGATGGAGACACATTCATATAGCTCCTTGGTAGCAGAATCAGGGCTGAAAATTAGATGTCCTGCCCTCCCAGAGAGTTTTCTTTCTGGTGGGCCAACCCTGGGCAGCCTCGCCTCCAGGGTCATAAGCCAGAGCCACGTTGGTGGAAAGCAGGGAGGGAGACACATTCCTACGACCTAGGGTAGCCAGATAAGATGCAGGATGCTCAGTTAAATTTGAGATTTATCTAAGAACAAGTAATTTTTACAGTACTTGTGTCCCAGATATTTCACTAGACGCAATAAAAAGTTATTTTAATCTATCTGAAATTCAAACTTACTTGGGCATCCTACATACATTTTTTTAGGTCTGGCAATCCTTACCACTGACCCCGACTTGTTGGCTAGGCCTTGCTCTCTCCTTTCTCCTTTCGCTACCATAAGGATACCAGGGAGGCTCGAAGCCAATAAATGTCAGGCCTCCCGAGTTGCAAGTCTCCTGAGAGTGAGTCAGGAGCTTGGTATATTATCACATTTTCTATGCAGTGAGGCAGCAGATGAGAAGAAAACAACCATTTGAGAAGAGCTTTGGTCCCCACCAGCAGGTCCCGTGTGAGGTGACAAGCCTCAGGATGCTTGCACCATGCGCACTTCTCCACCCACCTCCCTAATGAAATGGCCACGTGCTCCAATACTGGATTCTGGCTTCCCTCCCAGGGGTCCCCTGAAGCCAGCCTGGCTGGGTAATTGAGGCTTCTGTAGAGATCACAATGGGACAGTCAAGGCTGGGCTGTGGCCCCTTCCATGGCGGAAACAGTTCATTTTGAGAACTGCAGCGATAAGTGCCTTCTCTTAAACCCGTAGTTGTAATAAAGTCTCCTACACAACCCTCCCCTGCCCCAGCGTTTTGTTTGTTCTGAGCCCTGCAGCCCTATTCCCATCTTTGAGCTATTGGGAAATACGACCCCTGTCAAGAAAAGCTGCGCCAATCAACCTGGAGTAATGGGAGCCCCTGTCTGGCTCTCTTCAGGCAGCACGAGACGGTCATCCCCGGCGAGCTCCCCCTGGTGCAGGAGCTCACATCCACGCTGCGGGAATGGGCGGTCATCTGGCGCAAGCTCTACGTGGTGAGTTTTCCTTTGGTGCTTGGAGCCGGTGGCATTACTCCTGGGCTCTTAGCCCTCGGTTCTGCTGCAAGGTGTTGGCCACTTCTTAGCTCTCTGTGCAGAGTGGGCTGCACGCTACCTGGACTCTGTGCTGGCTGATGACTGGCGGGTGCTCGTTGTCCCAGAGTCGGGGATGGGTACTATGGAGTGGTGGACAGGGGCATATCATTAGGTCAGTCTTTTCTCAGCTGACAACATGCTGACTGTGAAGTCCTAAGACGTGCAACTGCTTGCATAGCCCCAACTAAGTGCCAGGAGCTGTTCATCCTCACAACCTCCCTATAATTATTGTAATGCAATAAGTAATGCAATTATATAATAAGTAATGCAATTATTACTAATTTATCAGTGTGGAAACTGGGACATGCCCCTGCCCTGTGTCCCAGTGAGCAGAAATTTGTTGGCATTTCAGCACTCAGCCACCTGAGGTCTCCACAAGGGGGGCATTCTCCCGCTTGGCCGGTGTGCCTTCCAGACTCCGCAACCTGAGCAGCTGTAAGCCATGGTCTAAAGAGTCTTATCTTCAAGGCCGACTCAGAGAACTGTTTCTCACAACAATGGTTTGACCTCACAATGCTAGTAAGGTTTGCCAGTTCAGTGGGAAATGACAGGAACCAGCACATTCTCTCCATGAGAACCACAATCACAAGATGAGTGTAGGTTTGCAGTTGGGACAAGGTAAACTTGGCAGTTGATATGATTGGACAGGCGGCACCAGGGGCAGCTATCTTGCACGGGGCCAAGAACACTCAGAATCCCTTGGCAGAGAGCCTGCGTCCGCATCTACTTTAGGAAGCTCTCTCCATGAAACTGGGAGGCATGAACACCATTTTCTAAATCCCCCTTTCTTATCGTGGATAAGCCTCATGAGGTCCGGCCTCCGTAAGCACCTTCCAGGCTTCCATGGCTGGCCAGGACATGAACATATATCCCCTCCTCAGACGTGTGAGTGAGTCCAGTGAGGGAACAGACTGATCTGAATGGCCCAGGAGCCGGCCGTTCTCTCTCCTTCATGTGATGCTTTAGCTACGATTTTCTGTAGTCATGTCTCAATTCTTCATTTTAACTCTGAAAAGCCGATCTTAATAAGTTGTTGAGAACATCCCCCTGTGGACTCTACTAAAAACAGTAATAAAATGGTCATTCTAGCATAACTTTTAAGAGTTAATGTAAGATTTCATTTCCAACCTGGGCTGTCGTTTCCCATGACTGAACACGGCAGTAGAGGTCACCAGCCCATTTGGTGGAAAAGCACATGAGATTCCTCCGCTTGCCCGTCCTTCAAGATGGTTTGTCCTTTCTTTTTCATAATGTGTTTTCTAAACAATCCATATGTTCCCTTGTGGACTGTCAGCACGTTTATTGTCAACCCCATGGTGGCCCCTGGGGTGTACTGCCTGACACCGCAAGTCATCTTTCGGTCTCTTTGTTGAACTGAGGAGAGACCTGACCTGTAAGTTCTTCAGTCACCAGCTCTGGGAGGACAGACATGCTGTTTTAAGCCCTTATGTATGTCCTATGTTGACTATCTTGTCCTTGTGTTGAAAGCGCTCTCTGGTTCTGGTTAATTGACTGGTTAGTGGTGAATGCAACATGTTTTGATGGATGAGGAATGGCATATACGTGGGTTCATTCCTTAGCATATTCTTTCTGGAAGTTGGTGAGTGGGAAAATGTATCAGACAGTAAGTTTCTGGGAAATGAGACTTCTTAAGTTGTCATGTACCAGAGTGGAGGGCAGGAACGAGGCACGCTTTTCTTCTTGTGGAAGCACAGCCCTGCTAGGACCATCGTCTGTGTCCGCAGTATCCGTGCCAAGTCTATCACTGAACAGAAGTAAGAAGCGAACTGCGGAGATAGAAGTATGGTTCACATCTTTGGGCTTCTGAAATCCCTTTGTTGTTACCCTGAGCAATAAGCTCAGGTTGAGGATTTCCTGTGTGGGAGGGAGTTCTGCTATTTAATTACAGAACTGAGTTCTAAGTCAAAAGAAAAAAAGAAAGTCCACTCCCTCTCAGAGGAGAGTGCATTTCCCATCTTACTTTTGACACCTAATATAATAATTATTTTGTCATTTGTGAATATTTTTTAAATGCCTTGTAGCTGCTATTGGTTGACTGAAAGGCATTTATTGTGGGAATCTCAGCTGATAGGGCTGAGCAATCTGCCACTCATGAAACATGCTCATTCATTAAGAAATAATCCACTTGAAATGGGTTTGTTATTAATCGTGGCATTCTCCTTTTTCTCCCTTTCTCTTCCTGAAACACTGACATGCCACTTCAGGAAGAATTTCTTCACTTTCTCAAAAATTTGTATTCATAGTAGCAAACCTCAAATATTATGCTGCACTGGGAAGAAGGTAAAAGGAACCCAAGTCTGTAGTTTTCAACTCCCCACATACTTTTATTGGTGTTTTTGTTTTCTAATTCTGTGTATAAGTTCTTTGAGTCTGTAACAATAAATACTGATTTTACTAGTATACATCAATACTTGTGTGATTTCTCTCGTGCATTTCCTCCCACAGATACGAAAGTAGGCCTCCTGTTGGTGTCTTTAAGGACACCTGTGGTGCATTAGGATCTGCACATTTCTCCATACATTTCCTAGTTCTGTTCCTTTCAGTCTAAGAAATGTACATAGTAAATTCAGAGTCTTTTGTGAGAGGAAAATGCAAATCATAACCAGATTAGGCCCAGCCACATAAGCACAGGTAATTCTAGACAGGAAAGATGCTTGTATGGCTAAGACTTATTTTTAGGAGTCATCCTGTAACCTTGTGAAATAACCATAATGTGTTTTAAAGGGGAGTGGAATTCCTCCTGCCGAGGAGAAGGGAACACACTCATCCAAAGTAGAAAGAAGAAATAATACCCCCATGTCCTTCTCTCTCTTCCTCTGTTATATTAGTATTATGTTTTGCATTTAATTATGATGTTGGCCTTATGATTTGGGAGAAGCAGGCTGTAGGAGACCCCCTGGACTGGAGATTGGGACGCTTGCTTTCATGTCTGGGCTCTGCCTGAACTGGCTCTGTGATTGTGGGCAGGACACCTGATGTCTTCAAGCATCTGCTGCATCTTGTCCCTCTGCAAAGTGACATAAAGTTTGCCTTGCTTACTCCAGAGAGCCGTGAGAATAGGAAGAGGCATGGTGGCTATGAAATCGCTGTGTGGACAGACCCACCATCGGGGGTTCTGCAAGTGCGATTCTTGGTGCTGTCATAGCTTGAAACAGTAGCTGGTGTAGACATCCTCCCTGCACGCAGGCTGGGCTTGGCATCCGCATGACCCAGCTAGGGGACTCTGAAGCTCCTTTGTGTGACCCTTATCCGAGGCCACTAACTGCCTGTGTTATCATCTTGGGCGGAGTGGCCTTGAGCACCAGCAGCCAGGCTGTTTCTCAGCACAGAACGTGAGCCGCCTCAGTTTAGATTCAAGCCCAGGAGGCATGGGTTGGTGTAGAAAGGGAAGGGGGAGCAGACCAGTGCACAGCTCAAATTCATGACAGTTTCTGGGGATCTTGGCCTGCGCTGCTGTTCCTCAGTTGGATCCCGTTTACTGGGTGTGTTTTCAGTGGTGCATCAGGAAAGGAGGAAACATTACCAGTGAAGAGGTGGCTGCCTGGTAAAACAGCAGGACTGTGAATATTGGGGTCACGGGTGGCCAGTTCTTAAATTCCGGCTTGTTCCCTTACTGTGTGTGCATTTGTATATTCAGGAAAAAATGACAAACCCAGTAATAGTTATTGCAAATGAGCAAAGCAGACCAGGAAGAATGCAGATTGTGAAGGCATGGGTTTTGGTCCAGGGGGAGCCTCTAGCTGACTCTACAGCCTGACAAATCCTTTGGCCTCTTGAGTATTATTTTCCTCACCTAAAGTGGTGATCTTATTATATATGCCTTGCAGATTTGCTGTTCAGAATTCAGTAGGATAATGTCCGTACAGCCTGCCGGGCTAGTGCCTTGACCTTCCCCTTACACCACCGCTTCTCTGGAAAGAGCTGGGTAATGCTGGGAGTGTTAGGGGAAGCACCAGACTGCACTGTGGGGTTGCGTCTTGAAGTTGCTCAAGGGTGTGCCCCAGCTTGGGGCTGAGGGGTGCTCCCCCTTCCAGCCCTGTAGGAACTTAACCTCGCCAAATCCGTGGGTTTTAAGTATTTTGCGCATTATTCCCTGTTGCCTCTCATCCTTGGAGAGTAGACCCAGGGAGCTAGACTCGGGCCATCTTTTCTTTTGAATAGCGCCACGTTTCCCAGCCACATCCGCCAGCGAGCACGCAGATGTCTAGCATTGATTTAGACGTGATTGGATTGCTGTGATATCTATAAAAGCCCAATCATACTTTCTGAATATGCACAAATCTACACTAGTCTATTTTCTACCAGAAACCAGGTCTTGAAAACCTGCAAGTATATTTGTATGGGCGGTGGCTTAAGAGGTTTGGAAAGAGGGCCTGTCCTGGGAATTCTGAGGTACTTTGTTGTCATAAATATACTCTATACCTCGCCCTGGGATTCAGCTTAATGCTGTTCCCCACCTTCCAACTGGAGCAATGGTTCAGTGAGTTTTGGTCAGCCAGGCTGTTTTGTTCATATAAATCTGGGAGATTGAATCTAATCCTATCTCCTTATGGAGCAGAAATGACAAGAAGAACCTGGTGGTAGAAGGTGGATAGTGTATATTGTTGAATCAAGTGAACGTAATTGCTAAAATATAGTTCATAGGAAGGACCGATCTCCCACTTATAATCTGCCAGCGAGGTGAAACCCTGGGCTAGCCTGTAGTTGTGTAAAAATCGAGCAGAAAAAGTGCCCGTAACTGAGGTGGGGGTGGAGATCTTGCTGGACACAATGAATGGCCCTTTCTTCCCATCCCTGCATATCCAGGCAGACTAAAGCTGTTCAAGTCTAATCTTGAACTGGTGGCTGTTACTGCCGCTGGAGCCTGTGTGCCCAAGTGTAATTAAGCTGGTCTCACGGTCTGCAACCAGCGTCTGATTGCTTATACCAAACACAGAGAATTCTTGTAGAAAACTTTGTCCTGTTGTGGGGATGTTTTATCTGTAAGTTGCAAGCTCGGCGTTAGCCTGGCTCTCGGGGGAGGCAAGGAGACCCTGCAATGATCGGCCCAGGGCAGGGGTGGTGCTCTGTATGTTTTTCTAGTTTTGTTTTTCTTGGATTTGGTTGCCTGGCTTTGAGGATTTCCTGCACTACTTCTAGAGGCAAAAATTGTCTCCCTGGAATCTTTTCTTTACATATTGAGCCTTTGCTAGTCAGGCAGAGCCTTCTTCTGACACAGGGAAAACGTCCTAGAGTGGATAGGAAGGGGGGAAGGGAGGCATTGTGCATCATTATCCGAGAGCCCAGAGTCAGTGGCGTGAGGACCCCGAAGACCCAGGACAGCATTCTCAACTCCAGGGGTTACAGGTACTCAGAAAACACATTCGGTGAACTGCAGCGAGCTGTATACAGGTGGCATTTGATACAGAGCCACCCAGACGTGTTCGTGACATCAGGAGTGAGATGGTCAGAGTCAAGATACAGTTAATCAGGAAGTTGCTTGGAGGGGTAATTGAGTTTAGTGTCTGGGCCATAGACTGGAAGACGCTTATCCCTGAGAATGGATCTTAGTGCCAAGTCCCTTTATTTACAGATGGGTGTATCCCAGAGCGAGTAATTTGCTCAAAGTCACTTAACAAGTTAATGATATTACAGACCAAGCCCCCACACTTCCAGCCAAGCATTTTTGCCTCTAAATCATGAAGAGAAAAGGTTGGTGGACAGGGAGTAAAGATTCTCTTTCAGGTTGGGGGTTGGGGATTAGAGAAGAGTCTTCGGCCGGATGCCTGCATTCTTTGGGAATAGAATGTGAGCAACACAACCCAGTGAGGTTGGGTCTTTGGCTCCTAAAATTTCTAAAATAGTCAGTGGATGCTGTCTGTATTCCTGCCACTACCAAAGCCAGAGCTGTTTTTTCTTGTGACTTTGATTTTATCTCTAGACATTCTTTAAAAAAAAAAAGTGGGGATAGACATCCAGAATAGAAATGTGAGACCTTGGAAATCTAGTGGAAAAGGGGGAGAAATTCTAAATGAATGCAGGAATTTTTCAATTTTTCTGTTTTGTGAAGCTATTCCTCAAATTGAAACCAGAGCGTTACTTATGTTTGAACTCAAAATTTAGGTTTGAGTCACTCCCGTGTCCCAGGACCGTGATGATTTTTACAGAGAGGATCAAAGAAATTATTAAATAAATTCCCTACCCTCTTCAAGGATGTGGCAATGGCTGCTAGAGTCCACACAGTTGGGATGAGTGAGGGCCAGCCATGCTGGAGAAGGCACTGGGCACCGTGTGGGCCTTGGGACAAGGTGGGAGGGTGGGCCTGCCCTGGGCAGAAGACGGGGACTCAGGTCCTTGGCTCGAGGGCTTGTGGGGAGTGCTTGGCTTTCTCCGCACATGGTTCACCTGGCCTCACGTGGCTTCCCAGGAATCCACAGTGTCGGGGCCAGCTGTTGCTCAGAACATCCTACTTAGAACAATCTTAGGAATGTGGCAGCAAAATCCATTTCTTTGAAGGGAGTGGGGAATCGCTTCCCTTGGTGTGCTCCAGCTTGTGTGTTCAGAAACCATTGGCATCACAGAGGAACGGCTGTCTCCATCCTTCTTTTGGGGGAGAATTGGCAAACAAGGCTGATACGGACAGGCAGTAATTAAGTTGCCTTGGATAGCGTCTAATATAATTGAGACCAAGAACTGGTGAACCTGTGTTGTAAACGAAGTGCTGCCTTTCCTAGGGGATCCCTGAGTCTTTGAGCCCTTTCTTTACCATATTATGAGAACTAATATCTTCATTAAAATTAGAAAACATTAAAAGAAAAATGTCCAATTAGTAGTAGACAAACTGTTTCTGCCCAGCAACTTTGAAAGGCAAATGTTTATAGGCTTAATTTCTCACTCCTTTTTCCAGTTTGGTGGACAATGAGATGGAAACATTTTATGCAGGATTGAACTGCAAAATAGCATTTTTACCTTTGCTTGTTAAAAATGGAATTTTTTTAAGTCTCATTTTTATGCTTCTCTAAAGACTGGCTGAGGAGAAGGAGGCAATTCAGAAAATGCTGGAAGCTAAAGTGGAGGTAGCTTCCAAACGTCAAGCAGGTGTTGTGTTCTGTGTTTTTCCCATCAGCAGTGTTAAGAGAGCATTGCTGACACATGAAACAAGTCCTTGGTCTCCTTGTTTGTGTCGTCACAGAGCTTTAAAGACTGTTTAGGGCTTTGATCACACGCTGCTCATCTCATTGCTGTCCCAGTGTCCTCACTTCTAGGCTGAGGGCTCTTTCCTCCAAGTTTACTCTTCATTCAGGGGCATCACTGATGTTTTCAGCCCTGACTGTACTTGATACCCTCCCCAGGAATCTGTTCCCAGGATTGTAGGACATCACAACAGAACATGCTGTTCAGCCATCAGCAACTTCTTTATATGTGTCTGTGTTTTGCATTGTTTAGTAAAGCAGATAATAACATTTCCTAAGATTTTAGACACATGCAGTTATATAAATACATCATGACTTTTCACCAAGTATATATAGGGCGAGTAGAATTGTACAGGTTTTTGTTTAAAAAACGTATTTCGAAATTGTTACACCAAACAGTTTTTCCTGACTACTTTAGCTAAGGTCCTCCTTCCCCAAATACACCCAATCATATTGCCCTATTGATTTACTGGAGCTCACAGAAGAAATGGGCATCACTTTGCATGGAAGGAGCATAGAATTTTTGAGGTGGATATTGATGTACAGTGCAACAGGGAATGTGGGCAGGAACCAGGATAGGAAGAGATTTACACTGTGACTTATGGGATTTGAAGGACATGGGAAATCACTGAAGGGTTTTAAATATAGGAGGGACATGGTAAGAATCTTCGGGTACATGATGACTTGACATTCTTAGGAGTCAGGACCAGCCAGCGATCCTAGTTGCTTGCATGATTCTAAAATTGCACTTTAGGAGGGAGAGGGGATGGCTCAGGACCAAGCCATCCTTAGTAATTAAAAATAATTATTTTTGCAAAGTGTCCAGCAAAATTACACGTTTAAAAAACACCTGATGAAGTAGGAATCAAGTCAAAAGATGTTCCCATCCTCCTTCACACCTTCTTTTTTTGTCCTTTCCTCCACCTCATTTTCCCGTCTTAGAACAACAAGGTCACACTCTTCTGCCAACTGCAGCAGATGACTTATAGCCTGATCGAGTGGCGGTCCCAGATCCTGTCGGGAACACTCCCCAAGGATGAACTGGCAGAGCTCAAGAAGAAAGTCACGGCCAAAATCGATCACGGGAATAGGTGAACCAGGGATGCCTCCCTAAGCATGTGGTGAAAAGGGGGGCGGCGGATTCATGCTAAGGACACAGCTCACTGTGAGCTTTAGATCTTGGAGTTGCCAAAGAATTACCCTTACTGTTCTTTTTTTGCCTTGGAAAACATTTACTTTTGTTGCAAAAACATTTGGCAGTGCCCTCCAGAGGTCAGACACTATCCTGGATCTGAGCTCAGGGGGACAGCACATGGCCAGGGAAGTTGGGGCTTAGATATTGAAGCAGCTCCACTGCCACCAGACTCCCAGGGACCGGCCATCAGAAGTCAGCAATTTCTGAGACCCCTGTGTTTTCTAACAGTGAATTTTAAATCAGTGTCAGACTCATTCTCTCTCATGTTCTCCACCTTCCCCTCACTGGGATTCTTGTTCACAGTGTGTGAAAACTGGATTTGCCAGAATAGTAAGACAGGTCTCCAGTACCCTCTGAAGAGCTGGTCACTTCATTCGCCTTCTGACTAGCTCGGGAAGCTGTGTAGGCTCCGATATGACTGCCCTTGGGAAGAGGAGAGATTCAGTGAATTCATCAAAGTTTTTGGTGACCTTGGATTCAGCCCTCCCGACCAGCTCTTTTAAAAGGACTGGGTCATTCCTCGGTTCATTTTGGCTGATGATTCGTGTGACATTTAGTTTCATTTTCTAAATTTCTTCGACTTGTGCATATGTGATCTTTCTCTCCTCCTTCACCCTACATCTGTGGCCTCAAGACTCTTAGATGTATTTCAGAGAACTGTGAAAATTACAGCTCATTATTCCACTCTTATAAATGTTGTAGGCTCTGATGACTGTATCCAGAAATAGCTGGAGTAAACATACCATGCAAGATTCAGATTCACCCATTATTTATGAAATCTCTCCTAGGCACCCTTCCAATATATCCCTTGATTGCAACCTTACAAGGTAGCTGGTATTCCCATTCTGTTCTTAAAGAACGTAGGGGATTGACTTCCAAGTCACATAGATAATTTGAGGGAAAGGTTAAATTTGAACCCAAGACTTTCAGTTCCATGTCTAATGCTCTCTTAGGGTTAAGAACGGACAGTCACCTCCCTCATCACTTGTCCACTCAGAGGACTGTAGCCACAGGAGTTGCACTGCGAGGTGGGCAGTGCTGGGGACTTTTTGAAATACAGCTAAGGTGGGATAAGGCAGCCTCCTCTGTACATAGGCTGTCTGTGTTTTGGGGTCTTACCACAGGATGGCATTGGCTTGGAGGACCCTGATCTCTGGCACAGGTTGCTGATGTCCCACAAAAGCCAAGCATGCCTGCCTTCTCATTCCAGACCTTGGGAGCAGCTCAAGAAGTTAAGCAACTCCATCAGTGAATCAGTGATCCCACCCCTGAGCAGCCAGCAAGGCCCATCGCCCATGAGTCCGGGTGGCCTGTGGGTCTGGCTGCTGTGGAAAGGGACCTGCCAGATTAAATCAGTTAATGGCAATGCTATAAAACAAGGAGAAGGGAAATTCAGCATTTTTGCTTGCTTCCCAAGGACTTGGCACATTTCAGTATTATCCAGGAGCTTCCTTGCTGCTTGGACATCCATACTCCCAAATTCCTGGTGCCTGGAAGGGATGCTGGGCACTCAGATAGCAATATCAGTTTCCACCACAGTCTCCAACTTCTTGAAACTAAGCAGAACTCCTACTTCTGTGTGCACACTGGGCTTCAAAGCCTTGATGGGGATCATGCCATGCATAGACCATGCGGCCCCAGCTTTTCCTGAGCAATTTTCAGGGATACAGCTTAACACAGCCAGGTGTTTTCTTCTGCCAGGTGCACAATAACAGCTAACATTTATTAAGCATGTACTATGCACTAGGTATTGCACTGCATGCTTTTATCTCATTAACTTCTCACAACAACCTGGGAGGGGAAGGGATATTCACATACATGAAAACTAGGGCTTTGCATTTTCTAGATTTATAAAGCTAAAAATAATTTAATTTCTAAAATTAAATAAATTACCCAGAGTCATCTTGCTGGCAAGTATTGAAGTCAAGATTCCAATCCTGGTCTAACTGAACCAGAGCCCATTCTCTGAGATGGGTTGTGGGATGCCAATAGTCAGGATTATTTCATTGATCTCCTTTAAAACAGTCTTGAATTAAGTGCTGTCCTCTACACCTATACTTTAAGCAAAATCAGAGCAAGCCCCCAAATATCTGTGCATTGGTCTTTCCTAGTTCCAGGTTCCTATGGCAAACAGTAGAAGGTTAGGGGCAGAGGCACTGGTCAGAGAAATCTGATCAGAATCAGTGCCAATGTTGAGGTTCTGTGGCCAAATCACTTTGCATATTGTATGACTTTTGTTAACATTATCCTACAATTTCTAATGTTATATGAAAAGGGGGCAGAAATTGAAAGGAGAAAAGTCCACAGAGCTGCTCTTTGCTTGCCCAGCACCCAACATGTTAGCTACGAGCCCTTGGGGGTTTTCTGAGGACTCTGCAGTGCCCAGTCTGTCCCTGATGAGGACGACCAGCTCACCACTCCTTTGTTTTCCAGAATGCTTGGCTTAGATCTGGTAGTGCGGGACGACAATGGGAACATCTTGGACCCGGATGAAACCAGCACCATTGCCCTCTTCAAGGCCCATGAAGTGGCTTCAAAAAGAATTGAGGAGAAAATCCAGGAAGAAAAGGTAACCTCCTCAAATGTGCCCATTTTAGCCCCTGCAGGCCCCCTTTTCGCTTTTGTTTTTAACGAGAGAAAGGGAGTCTTTGACAAAAGAGGTGGAAATGTTTAGAAAATCACTCACCTCCTCATTTGAAAGCAAAACAAGAAAAACACTGAGGCAGCTGTACGTGCTCCAGTATGGAAAGATTGCAAAGATACATAACTGAAAAAAGAGCGAGATGCAGATGATGCATATAAAACACTAAGTATGATTTGTGTTTCAAAAAGGAGCATATACATGTGTGCTTATGTATGTATAGCATGACTCTGGAACGAGACCCAAGAAATTGATAATGAATGGCTATGTCTGGGTGGGAGGGAGCCTTCTTGCCATGTAATCTTCTGTATTTGGCACTTATATTACACTTCCCAAAGAAATAAAATAATATTTACAAATAAAGTGTTTGAAGGATTTTGAAAGTAACAACTGGCCATTAAAGCAAGTAGCAAGGTACAGAAAAAGGTAACAAGACAAAGGTCACTTGTGTGATGACGTCTCAGATCCACCAATATTGATGTTTAATTACATTCTTCCAGTCATTCTGTTCTAAGGAGTAAAGGTTTCTTTTTGTTTTCTTTCGTTTATAGTTTTTATTTCTTTAGCCCGGTTGTAATAGCATTTCGTTGTATTTTGGGGATCCAGTGGTAACTGTGCCTGAGTGTGAAGCCTTTCCAGAGAAGTCTCTGTTTGCAGTAAGGGCCGGTCCCCAAAAGACGGACAATAAATCATGATTTTTGTGCTTTAGAGATTTAGACAGAAGCCATCGGGAGAGATGAGAACTCCTTGCAGCTACGAAAGCCATGAGTTCTCACCTTTAGATAGCATTTATTGAATTACTGAGGGTCAAGGCCCTGAACAGGACTGTCTTGACCATCCAAATAATAATGATTATACTTTGCTTAGTCAATCATGAGTCCACTTACATACACTTTCTTCTCAGTAAGTGGCTTGCTTTTGGGTGGTAATTATATTTGCCTCCCCATTTGCAGGCTGATGTTTTTGCCGTTATTTCCTGTTTGCTGACACCAAGATGCTTTTTTCTCTTTTGCTCTGTGTTCAGTCAATTCTTCAGAACCTGGACCTGCGAGGCCAGTCCATCTTCAGCGCCGTCCACACCTACGGCCTCTATGTGAACTTCAAGAACTTTGTCTGCAACATCGGGGAAGACGCAGAGTTGTTTATGGCCCTCTATGACCCGGACCGGTCCACGTTCATCAGGTAGTGCAGACCCAGGCCATCGGAGTCCACCTCGCAAAAACACCCAGCCCTAACCTGCCCCCGACCTGAGGAGCTCTTTGCTAGGATTGAGAGAGGATGACGGAGACGGTGGGGGATTCTAGGCAGTAGGAAACAAAACCCTGTGAGCTAGTGAGCTTCTCTGTATGGCGAAACTGCAGGAACAGGTGGTGACAGTACTGGCTTGGAGGACCCTGATCTCCGGCACGGGTCCCTCCCTGGGTCTTAAAGTCACACAGATTTCATCAGAACATGGAGATAGGAACAAAGAAATCAAAAGGTTGTAGGGGATGTGTAGGTGGGGCATGCAGGATTTTAGGGCAGTGAGACCATGAAGGTGGGCACTTGCCAGCACACATTTGTCCAAACCCACTGAATGTACAACCCAAGGGTGACCGCAAGGTGCACTGAGGACACTGGGTGACAATGATGTGTCAGGGCAGGCTCATCCTTTGCAACACACATGCCCCTCTTCTGGGGGATATTGATAATGGGGAGGCAAATGCATGTGGAGGGCAAGAGGCATCTGGGAAATCTTTGTACCTTCTGCTCAGCCTTGCTGTGAACCTAAAACTACCCTAAAAAATCAATTTGTAAAAAAATTAAGAAAAATAAAAAAAAGACTAGGGAATGGTAATAAGCTTTGTTCAATCCTAATGCCATGCTACTGCTGAGCAGTTAAGAAAACGTTTATTTTTGAGAAGGTGGTTAAATGTAATTACTGACAAATGGTTTATTTCTAAAATGGAAGTTTTATTTGGGTGTGGCGATGTGGATTCCAGGGGATGGATTTGGAATTATTATCTTAAAATTGTAGTCCTGATTCAGCAAAGAGGAAACATTTTTGCAAAGAATTTAAGATGGAAGAAAGAACCCCGGTCACATCGGACTGTACTCTGTCTTGAGTGGCATTTGGCTCGGGTCCGTCCAGGTGTGCCTCGGGGAGCTGGGCTGCAGCAGCCACACCTCTCCAAAGCCAGGACACCAGAGATTGGTCAGTTGTGCACTACAATCACACTTGTCTGGTGAATTTCCCTGAGCTGCTCTGGGCCTGCCTTGTACCTTGTTAAGTCTACAGTGGGGGCAGCTCTATCCCCAGTTAGCCGCTCACCGAGGATAATTGTGTTTCCTTTCCCAGTGAGAACTACCTAATTCGCTGGGGCAGCAACGGGATGCCCAAGGAAATAGAGAAGCTCAATAACCTTCAAGCAGTCTTCACTGTAAGTCCTTCCTGACGTTCAATAATTTTCTTTGTTCGTGATATTAGCGGTTGCACATGCTACATATGTGGAAAACAGCAAAAAGATAAAAATCATCATAATCCCCCTAGCAGATATAACCCACCCACTTATTCAGTGAATAGGCATTGAGGACCTATTAGAGGCCAGGCACTGATCTAGGCACTGGAGATGCATCAGTGAAAACATCAGAAAAAAAAAGCTCTGCTCTCAGGGACCTATTATCTAAAAGGGGAAGACAATACTAAGCAATAATGAAACAAAGGAGTAAACTGTGTGGGAGTCAGAAGTCATAATGCTTTGAGGGTTTGGGAGTCGCTGTTTCATGTGGGTGGTCAGGGCAGACCTCCATAAGGAGGCGTCTCAGCAAGAGCTTGCAGGGGACAAGGGGTGAGTTGCGCAGATGAGGAGGAGCATTGCACACCGAGGGTACAGGTGGCCAAAGATGGCATCTAGACTTCTTTGCTGGTTCATGTTTTGATGGCCCTCTGCCCCCAACTCCTCTGCTTCTCCAAAGGAGGCAGAGGGCAGCTACATGGGGATCGAGAGCAAGAACACTTATTGGGCTACCGCTGGGCAGAGGGACTCTTTTTCTTGGGTTAGGAACTTTCCTGGGGTTCTTTCACTGTTTTATGACATCAGTGCTTGAACTGCCTTAGAGCTGCTGCCACCTGCTCCAAGAAGCCTTGGTGGGCAGGTCTCCCAGCTTCCATTAGGCCTACAAGACATACTTTCTTCCTTTTATCTCCTTTTCCTGTAAGCCCACATCCAGATTTTATCTCCTAACTCTGTTACCACTCTGAAGGCAAGGAAAATAATCTGAGGGAAAGTGCCGAAAGAAGTAATAGGAAGAACAGTGGTCCCAGGCTTTTCATTCATTCGTCTGTCCATCTATCCATCCATCCATCCATCTATCCATCCACCCACCCACCTGTCCATCCATCCTTCCTCCATCCGTCCATCCATCCACCTACCTACCCACCCATCCATCCGTCCTTCCTCCATCCGTCATCCGTCCATCTGTCCATCCATCCATCCATCCACCCATCATCCACCCATTTACCCACCCACCCACCCATCCATCCATCCATCCATCCATCCATCCATCCATCCATCCATCCATCCCATTCATGCATTCATGCATTTGTTTCTCTTTATTAGATATTCCTCTCAACATCCCACCCCAGGACAAGCATGATCTGATTACTACCCCTGCACTCACCCATCTGTATCTTCACCACCTAGTGAATATAGGTGAAAAAAGAACTAAGAACTCTTCCAAAAATCTCCTCCCAACAACACAGAGTATTTGCTCAATTCTAACATAATGTGGATTTTCTTCCTAAAATAAAAAGGCATTTTCAGTCACTGTGTACACTGAAAAACAAAACATGTTAAAAAAAGGAATTATTCAATCTTTGACCCGTCTTCTAATCAATACCATTTTAGAATAGCTGCAATTCAACCCCCTATCCCACTCTTCCTCCAATCAGGATCTTCTTGTATAAAAGTCTCATGTATAGCTTTTTCAGTTAAATAAAATGTGGTGACCACTTCCTTGGTTATATATCCTACAAAAACTTCATTTATAACTGATTGCATATTATTAAATATTATCAGTGTGCCATGATCTCTGTAACCAGTCACCTGGAATCTTTATCTTTCTATTAACAGAAGCCTTACAAAACCTGGAGCAGAAATTTAAGTTTGATGTTATAATCGGTATATATTCCTATATTGGATTTCTGTGTAAACTAAGTTACAGGGATGGATTTTAAAATGATTATTAAAAAGTAATTCATGATTCAATAAAGAGGCCTTGGCCAGCTATTTCATTAGAAGAATTTGAGAAGCAATTAAATTAACAACTGATGTTAAAGTGAATGAGATGTGAGCTCATTAGTGGGTTTACTCACCGTCCTTAAGAACACAAACAAGTGTAGAACGTGAGCCACGAAGCAAAACATTCCATCTGCACATCTCTCATTAATCAAAATATACCTAGAAGCTCTCAGTGGATCCCTCTCATAGTATAAGTGAATAATTACAGGAGGCAGTAAATATTTATGTGTTACAGTTGCCTCATAGGACTGTTTGGAAGATGAAATGAAATATCACCAACATGTGTGGATACCCAGTAAAAGTCAGTTATCTTGCAAATTTTTGTTTAATTTGACACTGAAACGCATCCTGTGCTCAGATATGTCCTGGCAGGATATAAAGTAGCAGATACAAGTGTCCTGATTTTTAAATATCTTGCTTAAATTGATAAGGCAGACACTAGTTTGAATATGCTCTGATTTATAAACTTGAAGTAGGAACTAGGGAATAACAAAATTCCTTTTTTTGAATATAGGCATTTGTTTGAGATGCCGTGAGGAGAGTCATTCTGCTACTTCAGCGTTAGGAAATACACTCTGAACAGGGTTCCTTGCAGAGTGAAAAGAGAAATGCAGGTGGCAGGGTGACAGCATGACCTCCTGTGTGCTCTCTGCCCCTTTAGGACCTCAGCAGCACAGACCTCATCCGGCCCCGCATCAGCCTCGTGTGCCAGATAGTCCGCGTGGGCCACATGGAGCTGAAGGAGGGCAAAAAGCACACCTGTGGGCTCCGAAGACCTTTTGGAGTGGCAGGTACGGAAAGACCCAGGGGCAGATGTAAAATGGTGCAGTGATAGGATCTAGACTTTTTTGTTGGTTCATGTGTGGAGACAGTGTGATAGGTCCTCAAAAAATTAAACTGAGCACTTAGAATCCAGCAAGTCCACTTCTGGGTATATGCCCAGGAGAATTAAAAGTGGGGTCTTAAAGAGATATTTGCACACCCTTGTTCGTAGCAGCCTTATTCACAACAGCCACAAGGTAGGAGCGACCCAGGTGTCCATCTGTCGATGGATGAATGGATAAACAAAATGTGGTCTGTCCATACAATGAACTGTCATTCAGCCTTGAAAAGAAAGGGACCTCTGACACAGGCTACGACACAGCTGAACCTTAAGGACATTATAGTAAGTGAAATAAGCCTGTCACAAAAGGACAAATACTATGTGATCCCACTTATGTGAGGTCCCTAAAGAGTCCAATTCATTGAGACAGGAAGTAGACTGGGGGTTTTCAGAGGCGGGGGGTGAGAAGAATAGGGAGTTAGTGTTTAATGGGGACAGAGACTCAGTTTGGGAAAATGAAAAGACCCTGGAGATGGATGGTGGTGGGGGCTGCACACCAATGTGAATACACTTAATGGCACTGACCTGTGCACTTAAAAATGGTTACAGTGGCAAGTTTTATGTTATGTATATTTTACCACAATAAAAAGAAATGTTGAAGGAAAGAAGGATAGGAGGGAAAGGAGAAGGGTGGGAGGGAGGCCCAGAGATGGTGCAGGTGAATTTGGTTGTCAGTGTTGGCATGACGCACAGCGTTTCCTGCCTGGACGGCCAGTTACCTCTCTGCGCTGTGTGTCCTCACCAGATGCCGGCTCCTTAGTTCCTCCCTCAGTGCCCAGTGCCGCGGCTTGCACACAGTAGGGCCTCAGTACAGCTCAGCTGACTATTGGAATCCTCCCTGCCTACGCCCTGTATTGATATTAGTGAATAAAATTCTCCATGGCAAGTGGTTTGCCTGTCTGGGAAATTGACTCTTCAAAGGCACACATTGTGTTTGTAACTGCTTTCAAAGAGGGTCTGTGGCTTAAATCAAACTCCACAATCTTCCAAGAGGCCCTGCATTTTCCTCCGTGTTTGTTAAATTGAGGAAATACGTTCCTGGTTGTATGTTGATGTTTCAGTCACTAAGAAGTTGTGAAAGCTATCATGAAATGTCATAATTCTGCTCCTGGAAGATGTATCCAGAAACTCCATGTGACCAGGGTCTACCTTTCGGGTTATGTGGATAATGAGGTGGCCTCTATGTACTGTGAAACAGTGTACATTGTGCGTCCCTTGCGGCCCTGCTGTATGTATACCTGCTGCTCAAGGTCTGCCACTCTGACCAGACAGGATAGCATTATGTCCTGATAGAGAACTAACACGAAAGTCAGAAAAGGCAAGGAGCTCTGGCCCAGGACGGTTTAGCCATCTGTACGGCAGTCCATTGATCTAAAGATTGAAGGTACATTTAAGGTCTTTGTCATTCAGAATGGGCCAGAGGGATTCCAACTCCAAGCTTGAGGCCTTTGCTTGCTTTTGTATTTCAGGGTGTGTGTATGTGTGTATTGAGTGTGGTGGGAAAGGAGAGGAGATGAATTTATTCTGAGCCTTAATGCCAAGCATCAGCAGAGGTTAGGAGTAACCGGATGAGAGTGCTGACAGATGAACCACCTATTCTGGGAGGACAGATACAAATGTTGTGGCATTTTTTGTACAGTGTTTGCAGGGCTCCATTAGGGCCTGACAGCAAGCTGATGGCAATGCCCTGCTTTCCACAGCTTCCTTTCACCAACCTTAGTATCTCCCAGGCCTTACCCACTGTATCATTTGAGTTATTTTGAGAAGTCATTTCCTTCCTTAGCCTAGGCTTTTCATTTGAGATTGTCTTGTATCTCAGTACTTCTTTTAATCTCCAAACAGATTATCTGGGGGAATGGATTGTTAATGTGTGTTTTATGGCCAGACTGTAATTTCTTAACCAAGGGATTGCCTCTTGCCCTGGGCCCTGCCCCCTGCAGCTGCCCACCTTATTAGCTTTCTAGGCAGCAGGGCATAGCTAGGTTACATGATTTGGCCCTGTCATCACTGTTAGGTTCTCAGCTTCACCAATTAATGCCTCTAACCTAGGGCAAGCTACCTATCTTTCCTGAGCTCCATTTCCTCATCTCATAAAGTAGGACTAATAATGATAACCTGCATAAAGAAGATACGATGCCAAAGGCTCAGAGCCATGCTGCATTCGTTGCTCTTGTGTATAAAGAAGCAAATCACTATATGATCTGCTATTCTGTGTGGCTGGTGCCCTGGCTTCTCTGTGTTTATGTGGAGACCAGGCAGAGGATTTATCAAACCACAGAGGCAGGAGACTACTTTTAAGCTTTGAGTTTCTCTCCCAGGCATTTCATTCAATTGGATGCTTTTGCCCAAAACACATGTTCTCCATGTCTTTGAATGTGGGCTTACTAAAAAATAATCTGGTCTCAAGTTTCTCTACAATTTAGCAACTTGGGCTTGTAGAATTTTAAAAAGGGTGTAGTCTGCAGGTTCAGTCTGTGAAAATCCAGGTCCTTGAAAGAGCGCCTGATGAAGCGCCCTTCTGCTGGGCTGGGTACGTGGGAAGTCAGCGTTGGCTAGGAAATCCATGTCCTTCCTTGCTGGCAGTCTCTTCTCCAGTGTTCTCTGTGGGCTGATACTGTAATTTAACAGAGAAACTACTGAGGCCTGAAGCAATTAGGTTCTTTAATTAAGTTTATCTTTTTTCTAGTGATGGATATTACTGATATCATACATGGAAAGGTGGATGATGAAGAAAAGCAGCATTTTATTCCCTTTCAGCAGTAAGTACTTTGGCATTTATCCCGGGTAACTGGAGACCCGGATTAGGCCTTTGAACGGCTCGTTAACATAGAACCAGGTGCTGGGAGCCGTTTGCACAGTCAGAGGAGGAAAGCCTCCTAAACTGGAAGATGGTTAGATTGGTGCTGACGGAGCGGAGAGGTTATTCACAGTCCTTTGGATTGGACTCCAGTTTAAGAGGGTAAACCAGACTCTACTGATCATACAGAAACGAGTGAAGGGCAAATCTGTGTCTGCACTAGAAACCAGACACTGGTGCCACTGGAGTGTCAGGAAAGCCAAAGTAGGTTTGTCCTTTGTCGTAAGGGACAGGAGTCACGGAACACGGCACCGGACTTCTCAAACCGTAATGTGCCTGTCAATCACCCGGGTCTTGTTAGAATGTGAAACGCGAGCCAGTAGGTGTGGTGTCTGCATCCAGAGACCTTCTATATGGTGCTGTTGCTGCTGGTCTGGGGACCACACTTTGAGTAGAAGGGGTTTAGGAGGTGTGGGAGTGAAGGGCTGGCTGATCCTTGGGTTCCTGCAAGCGGAGGGGAAGCCAGCAGTGGAGGACATGGGAGGGTTGCCAGAAGCACTCCACGCTGAGCTTCAGGAGCTGGAGCCCCGTATGGGTCTGGGGAGCTCCTGGCGAGCAACTCTCAATCCTCGTAACACCGCAGAATCCCACATGTGGACGACACAAAGGCCTCAGCAGTCCTGCTCCAGCTAGAAGTCTTACCTAATAGTAACGTGTGGAAGGTCTTTCTGAGTCAGACACCAAAGAGTTACCAAAAAAAGAAAAATTCATAGGTTTACTAGACAAAAATTTTAAACAACTTACTGTAGAATAAAACTTATGAAAACTTTTCAGTGTGTATGAAAAAGAATTAATATTCTTAATATGTAAAGAATTAATAGAAATCCATAAGGGCAGCAAAAGGAACATATATACACACAGACAAAAAAATATATAAATCCATTGAGAATCAATAAAATGCAAATAAAAATGATGTTTAGTTTCTGGCTTGACTAAATTTTACAAATGTACATGATATCCAATGTTTGGGTGGGTATAAGGAAAAAATTTATAGGAATATAAATTGTTACAGTGCATTAAAAACCTTAACATTTAGATATTTTAAGAATATACTGTATAATTAACAGTGATTATTTCTTTCTAATTGAAGTATAGTTGATATACAATATTATGCTGGTTTTTTTGAAACATGGGTGGATATAGAGGGTATTAAGCTCAGTGAAATAAGGCAGGCAGAGAAGACGAATAACAAATGATCTCACTAATTTGTGGAGTATAGAAACAAAGCAAAACAGAAGGAACAAAACAGCAGCAGACTCGCAGACTTCAAGAAGGGACCAGCTGTTACCAAAGGGAAGGGGTTGGAGAGGGTGGGTGGGGAGGGAGAAGGAGATTAAGGGGCACTGTAATTCGCAATCACAAGAGGTAGGTCACAGCAGAGAGAAGACCATTAATGACTCTCTAGCATCTTACTACGCTGATAACACAGTGACGGCAATGGAATGGGAGAGGACTTAATAATATGGGTGAATGTTGAAACCACTGTATTAAGATTGTATATCGATGATACTTAATAAAAAATAATAATAACTTGATATTTATAGTGTTTTACCTGGCAGTAAAATCTTTGTGGTTAATAAAATGTGGGACATAGAAAATACAAACAATATTATGTTTGTTTCAAGTGTGCAACATAGTGATTTGACAGTTATCTACATTATGAGATGTTCGCCTCCACTAGTGTAGTTACTATTTGTCTATAGGAAGATGTTACAGAATTCCTGACTATATTCTCTGTGCTGCACTTTCATCTCTGGGACCAATATATTATAACTGAGATTTTTGTGCATCTTTATCCCCTTCACCTATTTTTCCCACCCACCCAACAGTGATTAGTATTTGGTGTAACTCAAGGTGATTCTACCCTTGTGTTTAACTTTGTTTTCTCGTTTTTTCTACAGTAACTATATATTATATGTAATATTATTTAAACTATAAGAATCCTTCTTTCAGTTTAAAGTCCAGCACCCTTGGACCAGTTTCTAAATATTAAAGTGTAAATAGTTCATGCTAATTAGTAATTCCCTCCTTCATCCAGAGGTAGCTGTGAATAATTTTTTAACTGTGCACTTACTTTGTATCCTACTACCTATATACTTACCTGCCAAGAATATAGTGAGGTAAATATTATATGTAGCTTAGTGCTAATGAATTATGAGATAACTTTCAAATTCATGAATGCTACTCCCAATATAAGTATATATATATATACTTAAGTATATTAAATACATTAAATATAATAAACATTAAAATATATCATTTCACATTAAATGTGTTAGTATATTAAATATATTAATCTTATATAAACATTAATAAATGCTTAATAAGTAATATATATAGAATACATAAGTAATATATATAGAATACATATGAACACATTAAAATATGAAAACATAAATATACTTAAGACAAATATAAATAACTTTCATATCCATGAATGCCATTCCTATTATATATACATACATAATATTACATAATATATATAATAGAAGTATTCATGAATGTGAGGGTATATGAAATATATGCATATCAATATAATAGTATTTATATAGTGTATATATAAATGCGTGTCTAAATATGTGTATATAAATACTAGTATGTGTAAATAATTGTGTGTATATATAAATCTGTCCATATAAATGTATATAAATATAAAAATATATATAAGAGCTGAATTATTTATATATAATTTATATATATATAGTTAATTGTAAATATATATATATAAAATAAGAGCAGCATTTTGGATGTGAGGGTTATTGCAGATGTATTCCTGTATGTTTGTTTCACCGGTGAGGTGGGTGTCCTCTTTTAGTCATGTGCCTCCCAACTTCATTTCTGAGCTCGTTCTTGCCCAGTGGCTGTGTGGAAGCAGTGAGCCCGGGATTGTCTCCAGTGTAAAATAAACACGCTCTCTGGGAAGCCCAGCCCTAATTTGATCACGGCTCACTGTGCAGCCAACAGCCACTGCCAAGTATTCCCAGTGCAGACTGCCTCTGGTCTTTACTCCTGAGATTTATGGCCTCCAAAGCCTTATAGTGTATTACAGTAGGAGGGTTGGATGTGTGTGTTGTGTTAGCCCATCTGAGAGAGCCGCTCGGAAACACCACCTTAGATCACCGCAGTCCCACCTGTCCGTAAGGTGCTGCAGGGCAGCCTCCTCGCGAAGGTCAGGATGCGGAGCTGCGCACTGCAGAGCGGCCTGCGGAGTGGGCGCCAGAGCAGAGTCACGGCAGAGAAGCCCGGGGACTCGGGGGCTCCCCGGGCTGATGCACGGTTCCCCATGGAGTTGCTGCTGTCAACAGGGTGGGGCTGCGCTGGGTTCCGGGGTCACCCTGTCCAAGCCTCGGCCTGATGTGACCATCCCAGCGAAGCTCGTTTGCTGGTGCCTTTGAACCCTGAGTACAGTTTGCCATCACGTGGGACCTCAGCACCCGCTGCACATTAAAAGCCAGTGGTGATCCAGGTCATCTTAGAGAGAGGAACCCAGGAGACTTGCGGGGCACACCGTCGGGGGAAAACCAGACCCCAGGCGGTCTGCGCCTTCCGCTCCTTGCGCAGCCCCATTTCAGCAGCCTCTCCCGCCCACAGAGCTCTGAGCCGGGCTCTGGCTCTGGTTTGAGTTAACATTTGGCCATCAGTTCGGTTTGTTCTTGGCGGGTGTTTTTCCTCCTTGTTCCAAGTCATTGCCAAGATGAATTTGGTGTCTAAATAGAAACCCAGTGGAAAAACGAAGGAAAGATAGGAAAAATCCTCTATTTTGGTAACGTTTAGTGTTTACACTGCCAAATTGTTCACGTTGGACCCACCACTATCTGAGGCTGCGCCGCAGACTTCCTCTCTGCTTACCTCTCATTTCTGACTTTCCCAGAATTGCAATGGAAACCTATATCCGGCAGAGGCAGCTAATCATGTCACCCCTGATAACGTCCCACGTGATTGGGGAGACCGAGCCACTTACTTCAGTCTTGAATAAAGTGATAGCAGCAAAGGAAGTGAATCACAAAGGACAAGGTAAACAGCCCCGGGGCGGGGCAGGGCGGGGCAGTGAGAGCAGTCCTTGGACTCCTGGCCTTTCACTACCTTCTGCTGGTGCAAAACTGACCCTGCTCGGGGGTGGCCCACCCCAGCCTCTTGTGAACACCTTTAGTACTAGTGAGCTCTGAGAATGCACCCAGCCCTGAACTGGATCACAGCTGTATTTTGTAAATTCTGTGGAACAAATTTTAATTCCATGATTATTGAATCAGTTTTGTCTACCCTGCAGTCCCAGTGCTGACTCTAGGTAAATGCACAAAGGAGAAGAAATTTGGAGATATTACATTCCACCCTCTGAATACATTTATCCCCTTTTACTTCTTAAAATTGAAAAGAAGGAAACCAAAGTAGGACAAATGAATATGTATTAATATGAAGTAATGGACTATCCAGCAAAACTGCTTTAGTTGTTTTTAGTACCTCCATATATCACTGTGTTGGTCGTTGTTTTAACTAAGAGAAATTCTGCGTATTGAAACTGCATTTTAAATTCAAATAATAAGCAAATATAGTGAAAATTTTAAAATTCAAATACCAAGGTGGTGACAATTTTTGGATAGTTTTGAAGGTTGGGTCACTTTTTTTTTCATTACTGTGCCCTCTGAAGTACAGGCACTCAGGAAACAGATCACTTTCTGCATATTTAGTTGCCATGTTTTCACACTTATCTAAGTGGGAAAGGCATGTGAGGAATCAATAAAGAACCTGAAAACAAATAACTAAATATTTTTCTGTTGTTTTGGGACTCCTAACTAAAGGATATAATTTATAGGAGTGGAAGGCCCTTATCCTAAATCTACACAACAGTAGATTGCTGTGTGTATATAATATATTTTTTAAACAAAAGTGAAAAAAATATTTATTCTTTTGCTGCTTAGCAAAGCAAGTGGTTTTCAGATATATGCTTGGCATAGATATTTTTATGGCTGCATAATATTCCATTGCTTTGATTTAAGAAAATTACCCCTCATGAAACACTTAAGTGCTTTCTAATTTGTCACCATTATACATTTAAGTCACAGTGCCATGACTACCTTTATACATGAAACTTTTTCCATATTTTCCTCTCCAAGAATGTTCCAAGTAGGATTTCTGGGTAAATGATGGGAACAAGCTTAAACCTGGGTATATATACATATTGCCAGGTTGCTTTCCTTAGATTTCTGCCAGTGCTACTGATGACCATCTTGCTCACTTTGCAAACTAATATTTAAAAAATATTTTTTGAAAGGTAAAAAGTAGACTTCCATAGTTCTCTGGCATCTTAAAAACTACTTCATGGTGAATTATCTAGCTTTCATATGTATTTATGAGTTTTCTAGAATTTTCCTTATGAGTTTTTATGAGCTCTTTATGTAATGATGATCTGTCTTGTTTAGGACACATAGTTTTCAATTTTCAGTGTGCCAAATATTTATAAACTTCTTGTATTTCCTTGTGAATTGTCTATTCATGCCTGTGCATGAGGATCTTAATATTTTTTTTCTAATAAATATTAAATTCATAATTTCCTGAATTTCACCATTTTGTAATATGATTTTTCCTTCTTTATGAATTTCAAAACTTGCTTTTGTGAGTTCATTTATTACTCTACATAGAAAAATGGTTCATTCTCAGAGATTTAATATACACTTAATTTTTCTTTTAATTTCCTGTCTTTTTTCTATTTACTTCTTTATTTTAGTAGGAATTTATTTTAATAAAAATCTGAGGTGAGAAACTAAATGGATTCAGTTCTAAGTAGGAAGAAAATTACCCTAGCACATTTATGAAATTGTTTCTTTTTTCATGATTCATTGTGCCTCTTTTGCTGTATATTAAATTGCTACATATTAGATTGCTTAACCTCATTTTCATTGGTTTATATACCTTTTCTACTACTAATATCACACCTTAATATAACTTTACAGCATTGTGGTATTTGATAGGAGCTCTCTTTACTCATTTTTTTCCCCCAAAGTAAACATCTGTTCACCCATCTGTCAGATCTTAAAGTAATTTGATGTCTCCTGTTGTGAATTGTATGGGAGTGTCATTAAAATTATAATTTAACTGGGGGAGAATTTACATCCTTATAATGAAGTATTTACAACAATGCAGTGCATTTATTTTTATCAGCACTTTTATGTGTGTTTGTGATATAGTTCATACAGAGAACTAAAAGTTTACTTTTGTTTTTTTAAAGGACTTTGGGTGTCCTTGAAGCTATTGCCAGGTGACCTCACGCAGGTTCAGAAGAATTTTTCACACTTGGTGGATAGGTCAACAGCAATTGCCCGAAAAATGGGCTTTCCTGAGATAATACTTCCAGGTAAAAGTTTTGCTTGATTCACCTGTTCTGCCTCTGCTAGGACTTCCTTCCATGCAGCAGTTACTTCTAACAGGACAGTCGAAGCAACATGGATCCCAAAGATTTAGTTATTTGCATTTGGAGGTATCAGGAGTACCTTAAAAACCTACCCAGTGTGCAAGCCCAAGATACCGCCTTTAAGTGTAACTCTGTTTTCTGTTTATTCTCTCTTTCTTTATGTTCTGCACAAGCCCCTCTGAAATACTTCCCTAGACATCCGTTAAGCAAAGCTAATGATCGATGGCACAGGTCCTCTGTCCCAAGAATAATGTGCTTCATTTGCATGTACCTTTCTCACCATGACAGTCCGTGTCCCCCACCCCCAGTTGTGGGTTGCTTGCTGGGAACTCCAGCAAGGTGTCTGCTCAACTCAGCTCAGCTCAGCTCAGCTGGGCCTCTGCTCCACTTCCTTTGGCCCCGGCTGTGCTCCTGGCTCTCCCCATACTGGTGGTGACAAGAATGCAAACATTCTGCAGTTTCTTACTTCAGTTTTACCTTTAGTGCCACCACATGTCAGTGATCTTGAATTCACTGATGTAACCCATTTAATTTCTTAATATTTACAGTGATAAAAGGAAATCATTCCCTCAGTGAACTCTGTATATGTGTACATATTGTATATATGTATAGTATCTGTATATGTATTATATACAGATATAATATGTACATTATTACATGTATATATACATTACATATTTATTATATATTTTATAGACTATATAAATAATCTTTGACATGTTAGAAGAATTCTAGAAAACCAAGCTATTATCTACTGTATGAAAAAATCGAGTTCTTTTAAAGTGATACAAGATCATATTCCTCTTTTAGATAATTAAGGAGCAATAATAATCTCTTGCTGTGCACATTATTTGAATGGAGCAGGCATTCAAAGAATATCGGAACGAATGAGTACAAGAGCTATGAAATGGAGATTGTTTTTCTTCTCTTCACATGAAAGAAAGTAGCTGTTCATCTGCGTATTTCATCCCTCCCAGTCATTTCACTCTTGATACGTGTTCATCAACATTATGGGAAAATATTTTGTCTTCTTCTTTAAAAAAACAAGCTTCAGTAATATTCCTACAACTGAAGACAGTTTTATTGTTACAGCAAGAAAGAAATCTGAAAAAATAAGAGTTTATTTTTGGGGACAAAATGAATTTATCTTTGACATCAGGCTGGAAAGATTCTTTCTAACCAGTAGGATTGGTTCCTAGGATACCAGGGCACAGACTTGAAAAGTCATGCAGGATGCTGGTTCCGAAAGGCTTTGGAACAGCTCATCAGGACCACCTGGGAAACTTTAAAGTACAGGTTCCCAGATTTTTCCAGAGACTGATTCAGAGTGTCAGACCAGGGCTCCCCAGGTGATGCTGGTGATCGGCCAGGTTGGAGAAACAGAGATCTTGACCCAAGTCCCTCCCCTTCTCCTCACCATTAAAGAGGCTTCAGGTACATCTTAGACTTCGCTCTACCCCACCTTCCCCTCCAGCCAAGATGCTCACATTCTGTCTTCATCTTCACAGCCATATTCTCAGAAGCCATTACATCTGTTCTCCATCTGTTTCACACTTGCCAGTCACCCTCGATTCTGTTCAGAATGGCTGCCACTAGAGGCACCAAAGATCGCAGTGTCGCTAAGTCGAGTATTTTGTAACCAAAGATCGTCTGGTCTCGGCAGCATGTGACGCTGTTGGTCTCTCCCTCCTTGAAATGTCCTGCCTCACCGTCTGACACCACGCTCTTCTCTTTTCCCCGTTCTCCATGAGTCTCTCTAGGACCCCTTTGCACCTTCCTCCCCTTTGAAAGTTGTAGTTGCTCATTATCTGGTCCTTATGCACAGTATTAGTTTGCTGAAGCTGCTGTAACAAAACACCACAGACTGGGGAGCTTACCCAACAGAAGCGTAGTTCTCACAGTTTGGAGGTGGGAAGTCTGAGGTTAAAGTGTCCACAGGGTTGGCCTCTCCTGAGGCCCCTGTGGTTGGGGTGCACCCTCCCTGTCTCCTCACGTCACCCCTCCCTCTGTGTATTGTCTGTATTGTAATCTCTTATGAGAACACCACTCAGATTGGATTAGGGCCCCACCACATGACTTCAGTTCCCCTTGATCACATGATCTCTTCAAAGAGCCTTTCTCCAAATACAGTGAGCTTGGAGGTACTAGGAGTTGGGACTTCAACATATGAGTAGGGGGACGAGTCTGTCTATACAGGCCCCCTTTCCTTCCCATCTGTATCCTCTCTTGGTGATCTCATCCACTCATTTTCTTCTTGTGTTAGTTGCTTCCAAATCCCTATATCTAGGCCCAAGACACCTCCTGGAACTCCACACCACAGGTCCCGCTACCTCCTGCCTTAGGATTTTCATAAGTGCTGTTCCCACCCATGACAGGATCCCTCATCTCCTGTGGTTCATTGATTAAGTCTTACTCAGCATCCCCATCTGGAACTTGTGATGCTGTTCATCAAGACCCGGCTCTTCTCTTGTGTTTACCTGAGAATGGCACCTTCATCCAGCAGCACAAACAAGAAGCCCGAAAGTCACCTTTGACACCTCCCTTTCCCTTACACCTCATAGGAAATTAGTGGTTAAGACCTGCCAGTTCTACCTTTGAGGGCCTCTCAAATCTGTCCCCTTCTCTCCATCTCCATGGCTACTACCCGCGTTTTAGCCACCATCGCCAATTCCCTGGACAGCTGTCAGAGCTTCTGATCTGGTTGCTCTGTTTCTGCTCTTTCTTACTTAGCTCATGTTCTCTTCTCCACACTGTAGGATGAATGATCTTTTATGAAAGCCACCTGATTGCGTCCCACTCCTTCTTTGCTGAAAACACTTCAGTGACTTCTGTTTTTATTTAGGATGAAGACACAAATCTTAACTTGGCCTGTAAGCCTCAGGGAGACTTGTCTTTTGTCTAATCTCTATAGCCATCTCACACCAGATTCCCCCTCCCTGTGAAGAATAGTCATCTGTCTGCTACCCCTGGGCCTTTGCACCTGCTTCTCTCTCTCCCTCTTACTCTCATCCCTCCATTATCAGCTCAGAGGAACAATTCCTTGCAGACAAGGTTGGGATTTAGTGTGAAGCTTTCACAGAGCCTGGCCTTTCCCTTCATTTGTGGTGGTGCATTTCATCCTGTGATTATCTGGCAATTCTTCTCTCCCCACTAGACTGTGAGCTCTGTGAGAACGAGGCTGGTGCGTGGCTCCCATTTGTCTCCCAAGCACCCGGCCCAGTGCTGGGGACAAAGGAGTTGCTCAGTCTGTTTTTCAAATGAATAAATGTGTATTATCTCGTCTGACTGTACCATAATTTATTCAACCAACTGTGTGTGGTTGGAAATTGAGGCTGTTTCCAACTTGTACTTTCATACACACCACAGTGACTATCCTTATAGATAAATGGCTACTCACATTTTTAATGCTTTGGAACCAATATTAACAGTGAAGTTGCCTTGTCAGCTAAGGCTTTTGACGTAGATTGTCAACTTCTCCATTGACAAAGAGGATGTTAATTTAAATTTCAAACTGTAATGTGTGAATTAGCCCCCTTATCTTCACCCTCACCAATCCTGGGTAATGTCTTAATTTCTTTCAGAGGGGGTGAGTGAGGAAAATGATAAGTACTCTGAAGTACACCCCTGTTTTCTTACAGTGCTATTATTTTTTACACTGGGAGGCAGTTAGTACAGATTTTGGAGTCCTTTTTATAATACTGAGTATCCCCTTCTAGGAACTGGCATGCCTTTGATTCATGCCAACTCTCCTTTATATAACTCAATGACATTTAAATTTTTTCTTTCCTGTGGGGGTTCTACATTTACTAATTAACTAATTTTTAAGATTTTGTGCTGGTTAACCAAAAACAAGATGAACAGAAACTATTCTGACATTGGTTGGTCAAAATAATTAAGCTAATTTAAATTAAAGTATTTTACAGGCTTCCAAAAATAGTATCTATCTCATCAAGTTGTTATATAGATTAACTATGTTATTGCATATGTCATTTTGAACAGTGCCTAGCACACAGTAGGTACTCAGTAAACGTTAGCCTTCATTGTTTGAGATGTGTTAAAATATCTCACTCTCCCAGGCATCATTGGAAAAAAAATCTGCCACTATAATGGAATAAAATATATTGTGTACTTAATTCTTAGCAACTATTAATTAATAGAACAAAGGTTTACCAGTGAAAAGAGTTTGTTTTTTTAATTACACCTCAAAGACACTTTGGTATGTGTGGAAAGGTAGTGACATAAGCCAAAGAGAATCAGGCGTGTAAAAGCTTCTGCCCAGTGAATAGTTCACTGTAAAGTCAGAGCAATTCATGTTTCACTTACATTTTATATCTTACGACATCCTGAGAATTAAAAATGACTTTTCTGAGCACCACTCACCGTACGGGTTGTCATGTTGCAGGAGATGTCCGGAATGATATTTATGTTACCCTGATCCACGGGGAGTTTGACAAAGGCAAAAAGAAGACGCCGAAGAACGTGGAGGTGACCGTGTCCGCGTACGACGAGGAGGGCAGGCTCCTGGAGGTGTGCGGGGTCCCCGGGAGGGCTGCTGCTGTGGTGCGCGCCGCTGGGCGGGGCTGAGCAACGTCTGGTCAGACGTTCTGTGCATTCGCGAACACTTGGTTTCCCATAAGGGCAAAATATGAAACCTGTTCAGTTTGTGATTAGCAATTACTAGTTTCACTAATAAACCCATTCAGACTCTTACTTTCCTTATTTCTCTTGTGCAAAGAGGGAGCTCAAGCCACTCATAATTTTGTAGGTTCCTTATCGTTTCCAAGTTTCTGAGCCCCTTTCAAGCCTGGTAAGTTCCCCTGGGGCTTGAGCGAAGTGGCATTGATGGCACATTTCCTCTGTTGACTGGGTCAGCAGAACCGAAGGACACGTGCCCGAGGGAGAGCCCTTAAGCTGGAGGGCTCTTGGTTAGCAGTCAGTTACCATCGGTCTTCAGTTTTAATTGTAGCAAAAAGGCTGTTACATTCTCAGGGAAACACGGAAGTCAGTGGTGCAGCTAGGGCTGGCTCCAGGCATCCTGACTTTCCGCCTGCAGTTCCTCCAGCTGTGGCAGATTCTGTCCATTCAGAGAAGTAAGGCTCGCTTTGTGCGTCAGAGAGAAGCGGAGGCAGGGGGCTTTCCTTTGCTACCCCTGGGCCTTTGCACCTGCTTCTCTCTCTCCCTCTTACTCTCATCCCTCCATTATCAGCTCAGAGGAACAATTCCTTGCAGACAAGGTTGGGATTTAGTGTGAAGCTTTCACAGAGCCTGGCCTTTCCCTTCATTTGTGGTGATGCATTTCATCCTGTGATTATCTGGCAATTCTTCTCTCCCCACTAGACTGTGAGCTCTGTGAGAACGAGGCTGGTGCGTGGCTCCCATTTGTCTCCCAAGCACCCGGCCCAGTGCTGGGGACAAAGGAGTTGCTCAGTCTGTTTTTCAAATGAATAAATGTGTATTATCTCGTCTGACTGTACCATAATTTATTCAACCAACTGTGTGTGGTTGGAAATTGAGGCTGTTTCCAACTTGTACTTTCATACACACCACAGTGACTATCCTTATAGATAAATGGCTACTCACATTTTTAATGCTTTGGAACCAATATTAACAGTGAAGTTGCCTTGTCAGCTAAGGCTTTTGACGTAGATTGTCAACTTCTCCATTGACAAAGAGGATGTTAATTTAAATTTCAAACTGTAATGTGTGAATTAGCCCCCTTATCTTCACCCTCACCAATCCTGGGTAATGTCTTAATTTCTTTCAGAGGGGGTGAGTGAGGAAAATGATAAGTACTCTGAAGTACACCCCTGTTTTCTTACAGTGCTATTATTTTTTACACTGGGAGGCAGTTAGTACAGATTTTGGAGTCCTTTTTATAATACTGAGTATCCCCTTCTAGGAACTGGCATGCCTTTGATTCATGCCAACTCTCCTTTATATAACTCAATGACATTTAAATTTTTTCTTTCCTGTGGGGGTTCTACATTTACTAATTAACTAATTTTTAAGATTTTGTGCTGGTTAACCAAAAACAAGATGAACAGAAACTATTCTGACATTGGTTGGTCAAAATAATTAAGCTAATTTAAATTAAAGTATTTTACAGGCTTCCAAAAATAGTATCTATCTCATCAAGTTGTTATATAGATTAACTATGTTATTGCATATGTCATTTTGAACAGTGCCTAGCACACAGTAGGTACTCAGTAAACGTTAGCCTTCATTGTTTGAGATGTGTTAAAATATCTCACTCTCCCAGGCATCATTGGAAAAAAAATCTGCCACTATAATGGAATAAAATATATTGTGTACTTAATTCTTAGCAACTATTAATTAATAGAACAAAGGTTTACCAATGAAAAGAGTTTGTTTTTTTAATTACACCTCAAAGACACTTTGGTATGTGTGGAAAGGTAGTGACATAAGCCAAAGAGAATCAGGCGTGTAAAAGCTTCTGCCCAGTGAATAGTTCACTGTAAAGTCAGAGCAATTCATGTTTCACTTACATTTTATATCTTACGACATCCTGAGAATTAAAAATGACTTTTCTGAGCACCACTCACCGTACGGGTTGTCATGTTGCAGGAGATGTCCGGAATGATATTTATGTTACCCTGATCCACGGGGAGTTTGACAAAGGCAAAAAGAAGACGCCGAAGAACGTGGAGGTGACCGTGTCCGCGTACGACGAGGAGGGCAGGCTCCTGGAGGTGTGCGGGGTCCCCGGGAGGGCTGCTGCTGTGGTGCGCGCCGCTGGGCGGGGCTGAGCAACGTCTGGTCAGACGTTCTGTGCATTCGCGAACACTTGGTTTCCCATAAGGGCAAAATATGAAACCTGTTCAGTTTGTGATTAGCAATTACTAGTTTCACTAATAAACCCATTCAGACTCTTACTTTCCTTATTTCTCTTGTGCAAAGAGGGAGCTCAAGCCACTCATAATTTTGTAGGTTCCTTATCGTTTCCAAGTTTCTGAGCCCCTTTCAAGCCTGGTAAGTTCCCCTGGGGCTTGAGCGAAGTGGCATTGACGGCACATTTCCTCTGTTGACTGGGTCAGCAGAACCGAAGGACACGTGCCCGAGGGAGAGCCCTTAAGCTGGAGGGCTCTTGGTTAGCAGTCAGTTACCATCGGTCTTCAGTTTTAATTGTAGCAAAAAGGCTGTTACATTCTCAGGGAAACACGGAAGTCAGTGGTGCAGCTAGGGCTGGCTCCAGGCATCCTGACTTTCCGCCTGCAGTTCCTCCAGCTGTGGCAGATTCTGTCCATTCAGAGAAGTAAGGCTCGCTTTGTGCGTCAGAGAGAAGCGGAGGCAGGGGGCTTTCCTTGTCTCAGCTGGAATCTGGCTCCTCTTGTGTGAGCCATACTTAACCTGCTTGGGGGCTCAAGAATCAAGCTTGGACTCATGGAGTGCCCTGTGTGGAGACACTCAAGGGCACAGTGAAGCACAAATCCTGTGGCTTCCCCATGGATATTATAGTCCTTGAAGGATTTATAATCCTTTGAAGAAACAGTTGGCTAAGTCAAGTCATGCTGTCTTAGAGGGGCAGTGAGAGGGCTGCGGTGTGGGAGTGGTTTGTCTGCTCTTGGTACAGCCCATGAGTTCAAGCACACATCTTCGCCCGGTCCATCAGTTCACAGCTTTGCTAACTAGCTTGAAAGTGCCCCTATCGAGGCCTGGTGCTGGTGAACTAAGGGGCTCATGACCAGGAAAAGGCACCGCCCTCAGTTTTAATGAACATGTTGTACCAGGACACTAGGTCCTTAAAGCAGAGTGTAGAGTGGCCCTCACAGCAGCGCATCTGCCCACCTGCCGTAGTTCCCATCACCCTTGCCTGAAAAAGAAAAGGAAACAGGAGAAGGCATGGCTGGGACGGAGGGAGAATGAAAATCGCAGCCAAGACAAGTTTAAGATGGTGGGGGTCCTTTAGCGACTCCCACATTTGTACACTTAGACCCTCAAATAAAGTGGTGGACTCTCACTGTTCTCTGCTCCTCACCCGCCAAATGTGATCAGTGTGCGTGTGCCAGTGCAAGGTACGTGATGGCCACGCGGAGGGCAGGGGCTCACGCGTGGTGTGTGGAATAGTCATTTTTCTGGATAGAATTTTCCCCTGCTAATTTTTTCTTTCCATCCAAAGAAAGCAATTCATCCTGGGGCTGGCTACGAAGGCATTTCAGAGTACAAATCAGTAGTCTACTACCAGGTCAAGCAGCCCTGTTGGTATGAGACTGTCAAGGTAAGAACCTGCCATCTGTAACCTCTCTCATATATTCAACCTCACTTAGAGTCCTACCTTCTTTTACCCACAAATCATTCCTACTTTATCCTGAAGTTTTAGATAGGTTGCTTATGGTGCACAGTAAGAAATGAATTGATAATCATGATTCTGCATCAGTGCTTGTCTTCAATAAATTCAGAATTCTTAAGTAACATTCTCATTCATAAACATGTAGAAATTTGAATAGAGAGAGGCTTTTGGTTGGAAATGATGTAACAGGGCTGCCAAATGGTCCAGACCTAAATGGAAATTTTCACACTCTGCGAGCAGTTGCCTAACATCTTTTTCTTCCTGGCCTCAAGCCAAGTGGTCTGGGCCTCTTTCCAGTTTAAATTCGAGTGTTACAATTTCCAAAGTGCTTTTGAGATCAGCCATCTCTCGTGGGCNTAGAACTACTTAGAGCGAGGCATTAAAAGTTCTTCAGAAATGTATTTTGAGATACTTACATAACATTCCATCATGTAATCATGCCATAATTTATTGAACTGTTTGCCACAAATTCCCTTTTTTTTGTCCCATGCCTCTGATTTCCCCATCTTCTCTATATATGTAAGGAGCAAAAAGCTTCCTTGTCCCCAGTATTTATCTTTTCTTTCTGTTATAAACCCTAATTATTCCATATCACTGTATACCTTGCAATCTATATAGACCTCAAAATACTGACCTTTTCCCTCTGAAGAATTCCCTTTTTCCTACTTCAGAAAGTGTAGAAAGCTGTAATGCCTCCATTCTCAGTATCTGTGATAAAGAACAAAGATGGTCTTGAGGTACTTTTGGTTTTGAAAACAGCTGAATCTCCTTTAGAAACCTTGCACCAGATCTCCATAGGAATTAGAGCTGTGATAAGATATTAAAAATTAGCCTAATTATGTAAAACAGGCTATGAGTGCAAAGTACTATGTCTATATGTATCTAAGCAAACTTCTCGTGCCTTATTATGATGCAGGTATCCATTGCCATTGAAGAGGTTACTCGCTGCCATATAAGATTTACCTTCCGGCATAGATCGTCTCAGGAATGTAAGTATTAGATGGTCTATAATATATTCCCATTAAGCAAATACTTTTGCTTGACAGAGCTTTTGGGGTCTGCAGAACAAGGTAATTGGAAACTATAGATACTTATCATTTCAGGATTCACTGGTACAAAGGAAATCAGAAAAATGTGTTTATATGGGCCTCTTAAGATCTGTATTTGTCATTCTATAGCAGAATTTCCCCAAAATGTGTTCTGTAAGTACTAAGGTTCCATGAGATACTAATAGTTGCTCTGTGACCAAAAGGGCTTCACAGTCAAATGGGAATAGGAAATGCTGTATATTATATCTTCCTCCTGGACATTCACAGTGTATGTTGCCATGTTGCTGAGAAGTCAGGCAGCAAGGAAACTATTCAATCTGTTGTCTCCCCAGTTTTTTTTTTTTCATGAACTCTTTCACTTGATCACAGTTCATGAAATAACTGCTTTAAAATGTGAACAGAGGGGAAAATGGATTCTTTTCAGATTGACCACAAAATTTCTAGTGTCTTGTTCTCATTCAATGTTGCATAAAAATGCAGTCCTTCATTCCAAAGTGAATTTACTGAACAGCATTTACCTACCAGATTGCAGGCCAGGCCCTGGGTACATGACAGCAAATAGAACACGGCCACTGCTCTGAAGAATCTCTGTGGTCTGGCTAGGAAGATGAGCAAGAAAACAGGCAGTTAAGTTCAGAACAGGGTGGTAGGTGCTACAGCAGCAGTGTTATAAGAGAGCATGTAACACAGCACTTAACCCCATGTGGGGTTTATGCATGCAACATCCAGCATCCTAGCTGAGACTTGAAGGTGAACAGAAGTTAGCCCAGCAAAGGGTGACGGTGGAGAAATGTCTTGTAAAACCATAAAATGAACTCACTAGGGCTCAGTAGAAGCAGTGGGGTAATCATGATACTAGACTAAATAAAATTGCTGTTTTTTTAGGCCTCTGTCAGATAGTCAAATATCAGCAATTTCATGTGGTTCTGCTTAATGTTAAACTTAACATTTACTGATCCTTTAGTTTGTGCCAGACACTAAGTGAAGCTCTATTTATACATATCTTGTTCACTATCCACAGTATCTCATAAGGTAGACACTACTGTCTTCTACATTTATACGAAAGAAACAGGCATAGAGAGATGAGATACTTGCCCAAGGTCACAGGGTTCATAAGTGCCGGCTTGGACGGGTAAGACACCTTGGCACTGAGAGTCCAGGCAGGCTGGGACACGATCATGAAGGATAAAGATTCTTTTGAAGCATGTCAGGGAGGAGCCATTAAAGGCCGTTTGGTGGGTGGTGGTGGTGATGGCTGTCGTTTGTTGTATGTTCATAATAGCTTTAATCATAACACCCCCAAACTGGACATAGCCCAAATGGCCGTCAGCCAGAGAACGGACAAATTATCGTACCATCACACTATGGATTACTGCTCGGTTCAGCTGGGGACACACGAGTCAGAGCAGACCTGAGAGCTGTGCCCGTGGTTAGAAGAGGCCACAGTTACCCCAGCCGACAACATCCAAATAAGGGATGCAGTGAGCTCAGAGGCCGGGCCTTGGAGCCCAGGAGGGGAGCAGCCCTGCTTCCTTGGGAGCCTGGACCCTCCTCCCCAAATGCTGCAGGGAGCACATGCCCACTTCTCTTGGCACCTGGGCTAGTATCTTGCAAGGAAAAGAAAAGTAGAGATCTTAGTTGATAACACACGCCTTGGAATAAGTGCTCCACCGAGTCTGTCCTAAGATAAATGGGGTAGCTCAGGAAGGGGCTTTGGAGCAAGGTCGTTGAGCTGATTAGGTTTGATCTGCAGAATCTCACTCTGGCTGAAGGCTGGAAAAGGACTGGACACCAAGAGACGGGTCACGAAGATCTTGTAGGAAGACAGGGAAGAAGTGAGGGTAGCCAGACGTGGGTAGGAACAGAAAGGATGGAGAGAAAGGCAGGGAGCCCAAGGCACTCAGTGCATGGGGTTGACATGGGGTGGAGTTGGTGTCAACACTCACTTTTCTCATTTACATGACTGATTTGGATAACTGGTCCCATTCATTTGCAGATGTAGGAAGAGAAGTATTTCCTTTGAGGCGCCTGGGACATGCATAATAGGAATGGCATACTGTAGCTCACTGACCTGAGTTGATGGTAACAGGAAATCAGTCACCATCTGCTGGCTGGCACTTCCTGGTGTCTTTCTGCCCTGCTCAGACATGTATTTCTTCTTTTCAGCCAGAGATAAATCGGAGCGAGCATTTGGGGTGGCCTTTGTGAAGCTGATGAACCCGGATGGCACCACTCTGCAGGATGGGAGGCATGATCTGGTGGTTTATAAGGTGGTGCTAACAGAACAAAGCTCAGAAAATTGCTGAGGAAGTATTTACTCCCTCTGAAATGGGTTCTTAAGGCTCCTTTCAGATGTATGTGCGTAAACATGAGAAACTTTTATCCAAGCTATACGTTTGCCCCTTAAAGTCTAAAAGCCCAGAGTCCTGTGGTCACACCAGCCGCAGGGTCTCCCACCCGCTTTCTGGAAGAGTGAGTTGCATCATTATTCAGTCTTCTAAAGAGCAGCTCTCCGTCTCTTGCTAAAGACGTTCATGACGGTGAATAGCCAAGGGTTCCCCTACTGCCCCTACTCTCACATCATCCTGTGAGGAACATAGCTGGTCGCACTGTGGGGCCTGGTTAGAGTGTGGTGGGGGTGGTAGGATGTGGTTTCGTATCACCGTGAGCCAGGTACCATTTCTCTGCTATGGAGCCTAGTTCCTTCCCTAACAGTTTTGTCCTCATTCTTCCCTCTAACTGCCGTTAAGTTACTGCTCCTACTGAGATTTTAGAGTAGAAAATAGAGGCTAAAAATTGCATTTATCCAACAATATCCTGAAGTCGGTGGCTTTTTTGAGTTGCACTTACCTGATGTTTATTTTCCTGAATTCATAAGTAGTATAAGAAGGTATCGCAAGCTATTTCTTCCCAATGAACCCAGTCAACCCAATGAAGTTTAACTGTGAGCATTTACAGGTTCAAGAAACTAAAATCCAAACTTCACTCTTTAAGATTTTTATTTCTGTGTGTCAGAGACCTCGGATATTCTCACTTTCTAGTTCACAACTGATTCCATTTTCATTCGTTTCGCATTGAAATTATTTCTGGGTTCAAACTCTGGAGAGGTATTGCAATGTCTTAGAGTTGGAATGGGTCTAAGCATAGTTTGGTAAAACCTCATTTCACTGTGCTCATGAGAGAAACCATTTCTAATTTTGTGTTAAGAGATTTGGGCCCGTACTCTGGGGTTCCTAACATGCTTCCTTCGCAGGGTGACAACAAGAAAATGGAAGATGCTAAATTCTACCTGACCCTGCCTGGAACCAAGGGAGAGATGGAAGAAAAAGAACTCCAAGCATCTAAAACCCTGGCCAGCTTTACCCCAAGCAAGGATAGCACAAAAGACAGCTTTCAGATCGCCACTCTCATTTGCTCCACAAAGCTCACCCAGAACGGTAGGCGGTGGCTGCAGTGACACAGGATGGGTTGTCTGCTGGGTCCTCCTGGGCTCCTTGTGCACGCTGGATAGCTAACGCACCTTCTGAGGCTTGGTTGTCTGTCTTTCGAACAGGATGAAAAGCATTTTGGTGTTTTTTAAGACCTACCAATGTATTCATGAACAGATGTTACAAAAAATGAAAAAGTCTCATATTTCTTTCCTTTAAGGATGCAAAGAACTCTAATAATGGTCCTACATCATATACGTGACAAGAGATGTTGGTCAGAAGGGGGAGGATCCTGGCAGAGAAATGTAATCAGTGTCCTGCTCAATCAGGCACTGCAAAGAGCAAGAGGCTTCCTGTTCGAGTCCCTTCTTCCCATTTTTCTCCCCAAGCAGTCGGGGATTTTCCATAAAATCAGCTTAGTTAGTTAAAGGGGGCTTCATTTTGTTCCTCCTTGAAATCTCTGCTTTCAATTCTAACTTCTCTTGTATATATCATGGTACTTGATAGCTTTGACAGCTTCTTACCCATTTGGCCTCTGTCATGTGTAAGGAGGCCTCCTGAACTTACTGAACCAAGGATTAGCTGCTCAGAGGACTTGCCTTCGATAGTGTATAGCGTCTGTGCTGTGTAGAGGATGAGGCCCTGAGGGCTCTTAGAAGCGTTGGGTGAGGGGTACAGCAGGGGCTCAGATCCAAGGTACTCAAAGACCAGACGTTGGTTGATCTTTGGAAGGGGTCAGTATTGTTTGTTCTGGTGAATCATGGTTGGATAGAGAATATGGGTAGTATTTCAACTTGGACAAGTGGCTAGACTCAATGGAGTGAAATTTAGAGCTGGTAACATCAAAAGTGAAATTAAGCCAGATAAAAGGCAAAGCTGTGGAGGCGATCCAAAGATCTGTGGTTGCAAAGGGCTTGGGGAGAGAGGGAGGGATAAGTAGGCAGAACACAGGATTTTCAGGGCAGAAACACTGTATTTATATGATACTATAAAGGATTCAGTATTATATATTTGTCAAAACCCACACATAGTGAACCTTAATGCTATGGACTTCAGTTAATAAACTGTGTCAATATTGGGTCATCATTTGTAACAAATGTGTTATAGGAATGCAAGATAATGGGGCGTTCAGGGAGCAGTGAAAGGGTGTATAGGCATTCTATCCTTTCTGCTTGATTTTTCTGTGAACCTAAAATGCAAAGACAGTGTATTAATTAAGAAAAAAAAAATTCAGCCATTGAGAGCATCATAGAAGACATGACATCATTATATTAGTGACATAACCCTTGTTAGGGAAAAAGTAAATGTAATAAACTGAAGTTAAATGGTATAGTATTTATGAAGGTGATTCAGAAGGTATAGCAAAGGTTTTAAATGGGTTCAGACCCTTTGACCCAATACTTTATCCCTATTATTCCTGATAGGGGAATAGTGGAAACAACCCAAATATCCAATAGTTGGGGTCAGTTCAAATTATACAGTGTAATTAAATGATGAAATGTATTCAGCTACCAGATATATTTCAAAACATAATCAAAGACATTGGAAATTTTTAACACTATGCAGAGTATGATTCCGGTTTTGTTTAAATATATGAGAACAGTTTGGAGCCTGTTGCCTGAGTTCAAATCCCAGCTTCAACACTTACTAGCTGTTTAATCTCAGGCAAGTCCCTTGATCTCGCTGTGACTCGGCTTCTTCATCTTTAAAATGGAAGAATACTTCATCCTTTAAATAATAAAACTATTATTACTGAATGAAGCAGAATTGAAGTACTGTTCAAGTAGATGAAGTACTCTTATTATTAAATAAACTAGAATGGAGCAGAATGAAGTAAATTAAAATAAGGACAAGTAAAAAAAGCATAGTAGTTGGCCTGTCGCACACACTATGAAAGTATCAGCTGCTATTATTATCATCACCACCATTAATGGGTGCAGAAAAAGACTTAAAGGAATCACTCCAGAAGCTTGAACAGGTCTTATTTTCTCTATTCTTTTCGTTTCGATGTTTTACAAATTTTAAACTGAAATGTTAAAATGTTTTTCTTTTTAAGTGTGGCAGTAGGCAGTATAGGGCATTAATGTACTGCTGAGATAATTAAAGGAAAGTCAAAAGGCACACCGTTTATCAAATATCTAGCAGATTATCCTTTGTAGTGACTAGAGTTCAAGGACAGCAGTGATAAAAGTATATAAAATTATCTTACAAGGCAAAGCAAAAGCAATTTCCAGATTAATAGACACTAATAATCATAGTGTTAGAGGTAACCATGGTATTAAATCATGTTTTATCCCCTGGTCAAAAGTCAAGGAAGCTTATTGACGGGCAGCAGTACTCAGTTCAAACGCCTGGCTTGCTGACATCTCCATCCCCCACCTTCCAAACGTTGTGAACGGGTGCTCTCCCACGATGGCAGCCACGAGCCTCATGGAGCTTGTGAAATCGAAGTTAATTAAAGTCAAAGAGAGTGATGGGTTCAGGTCCTTGGGTGCACGCATGTCATTTCAAGTGCTCAGTAGTTCAGTGTGTCTGGCGATGCTCACGCAGCAGCGCAGACAAGCACCAATCCCCTCTCCCAGAAAGGCCATCAGACGGAACTGGGCTCTGCTTCGCTGCCATCCCCAGTCCTAGTGTTTAGGTCTCAAAAAAACTCATCTTAACATACCAAAAACAATCTTAAATAATGTCTTGTCCCCAAGAAGGTTAAAGAGGCAGACATCTGGGCCAGAGAGGAGGGGTGTGCCATCAGCACTTGCAGGGGTGGGGAGAAGCCGGGCATGGGAAGGGTGCTGAGGGTCAGAGAGAGGGGCCGGTCATAGATGTGGGTTGCTCGTGTATTTGCTGTCTTCTAATTTGGTGAAAGTTATAAAGAACCAATTTATCCTGAGAAAGAAGCCGAGGAACATTAGTAAAGCATCAGCTCTGTGAGGGCATTTACTGGTGCAAAGGGTAGCTTTTTCCCTTGTCTTTCTTTTCTTTTTTAAATGTTATGGTTTCTAATCCTCTCCCTAGGGTAATCACTAGCCTGAATTTGGGGACTGTCATTCAGAGTATCCTGGATTCTTACCTACTTCAGATGGGAACATAAACTGGGATGATGACTTTGGATAACATTTGGATAATATCTAATATGGTTATAGGTGGTCATTTCTGATGATCCCAAAATTCCACTCCATTTCTGTACCCCCAGTCATGTTGCTGCAACTGGATGTCAAAAGATATGAGAATTTTCATAGAATTGTTTGTGATAGCAAAAAGAAAATGTTTGTTGACAGTAGAGTGGATAAACAGGTGGTGGTACATCCATACGGTGGGAGATATAGTATGCAACAGTGAAAAGAAGTTAACTAGGGCTCTGTGTATCAACCTGCATGAACCTGGGGAACACAGTAAGCCTAGGGCTTCTCTGTAACACTTTTCCACCACCTTTCTAGCCCTAATATCTTAGGATTCACCAGATGCCAAATATATTTCTAGTATAAGCAGTGATGGGCATGCAGATATCTCTAGGGAATAAACCTCTAGGTTGACTGATGGGTTCTTGCAGTTGCTTAAAGCTGCTGGGGGCTGCTTCACCCATGATGAAGTATCTAAGTGCCTTTTCTTCAGGCATCAGCAAGTGGAGTGAGGTAACCAGTGGAGTGGTACCATTGGCAAGCCTCTGGCAGAGACAGGAGGTGGGCAGACAGCAGTGGACAGTGCCGAGTGGATAGGCCCAGCTCAGTGCCAGTACTTAATGAATGAATGGATTGAGCACATGCTAGCTTCCTTAGGGCTACTGGCTCCCTTTCCATCCATCCTTTCTTTCATCAAACACATATTGAATACCTACTAGCTGCCTGGCACTATGATGGGATATAAGAATGAATGAAGAAGGTTCCTGACCTCAAGTGGCTCAAATCTATGAGCCAAAGAGATACCAAGTGTGTCTTTATTATTCATTATAATATATATGTGATGTGTACGTACATATATATACATGATATGTGTGTGTATGTATGTTCTATGTGTTAGTGTGTATGTACATGTATATATATCTGTAGAAAGGAATATAGATAGCAGAGAATGATTGGTTAAGTCTTCCCAGAAGGAATAAATCTTGAGAAGGGTCTTGAAATATAAGTAGCAGCTTACCAAATACATAGTGTGATAATGTTTCGGGGCACTTCAAACAGAGGGAAGTCTGACTGATGAGGGGTAAAAGAGAATGGCGGGCAGTGAGGCGGGCAGGGGGCCACCGGGGTGGTGCACTGCCTTCTGTGGTGGTGTTGGGACTTAGTCTGTTGGCAGGAGAAAGTCTCCAGGCACTGGGTTTCGGAGGCTTCCCAGGGGACTAAATACTATGCAAGCCAATAAACCATATTTTTGAACCAAATTGACTATTCTAATGAGCAGTATATATTTTCAACTACTTACATATATTTATATAAGTCCATTGATTACTGCTGCTTTTACTGGGTCACACTCTGTACATATAAACAGTAATGTGGTATACTAAACAAAATCCTAAAATTTTAACAGTCCGGATGCCTGTTCTATTTCCCTGTGACACTTTTAGTAGCTCACCATTCATTAAAGCTGTAAGAGGCTTAAAGATCCAAAAATCTGCATTTAAACCCAAAAACACCTCAAGATTTTTGTCCCAGACTTACCTAAAGGGCCATGAATCACCTTCCTCTGAAATAGCAACCTATCTGATTTGCTTGTCTGTTTATTTCTTTGAAGAACTAAGGACATGGTTCTCTGGAATGAAATAAATCTGTAATTAAATTCCATCCATACTGCTCCCTGGCAGTCGTGTGACCTAAGGCAAATAATTTTGCAAAGCCTCATCTTCCTCATCTCGAAAAGGGAAAAAGCAAAATCTATTCTACATTGTGGCTGCAGTGTTTAAATGGATTAATACATGTATATATGGTCCCTCTCCTTTGCACCCACTGAGGCACACACCAGCAAGGAAAGCATTAAACAATGCGGCAAATTAAAGGTAGGAAGTTACTTAAGCGTGTTCCTCAGTTTCGTGTGTATGGCTGTGATTTCATTATTTGAGAAATGTGAGTTCAGGTATCATTTTAGCTTCTTGTACATTAGTGGTTAGTTTTTTTCTCTGATGAGTGAAAGCAGAAGACAAGGCTTTTTCTGGTTTAGATAGGAGACAGTAAATTAAAAGAATATAGAAGATATTAGCCACCCTTAAGAGCAATTATCTTTCCTAGGAAGTTGTGTAGGCATGTCCTGAAATGTGCGGTGCTCCTTCTAATCAGGGTCTAATGTTTATGGTTTGTGATCGTTCTTCCTAGTTGACCTGTTGGGTTTGTTAAATTGGCGTTCAAACTCCCAGAACATCAAACACAACCTAAAGAAGTTAATGGAGGTGGATGGAGGAGAGATCGTTAAGGTACGTTTATATACTCATAGTCAGAAACATAGTCACTGTCATTAGTCAATGTCTTAAATTAAACCTATCATTGTAAATATAAAGCTTATTAATCTATGTGGGGAAGCAAATGAGCCAATTTTTTTTATTTGAGAACAATTTTTATTGAAGACTAGTTGATATACAATATATAATTGTTTCAAGTGTACAACATCGTGATTGAACAGTTATCTGCATTATTTATTTTTTTCGTTTGATTTTTTTTTTAGAGGGCATCTCTCATATTTATTGATTAAATGGTTGTTAACAACAATAAAATTCTGTATAGGGGACTCAGTGCATAATCAATAATCCACCCCAAGCCTAATTCTCAATAGTCTCCAATCTTGTGAAGCATAATGAACAAGTTCTTACATGGTGAACAAGTTCTTACATAGTGAATAAGTTCTTACATGGTGAACAGTGCAAGGGGCAGTCATCACAGAAACTTTCAGTTTTGATCACGCATCATGAACTATAAACAATCAGGTCAAATATGATTATTTGTTTGATTTTTATACTTGATTTATATGTGAATCCCACATTTCTCCCTTATTATTATTATTATTATTTTTATTATTTTTAATAAAATGCTGAAGTGATAGGTAGATGCAAGATAAAGGTAGAAAACATAGTTTNTGTGCCTATAGACTAAGTATTAATCCAAGCTAGACAAGGGCAGCAAAACATCCACGGATGCAGATTTCTCTCAAAACGGGGGGTGGGGGGTGGGGGGTGAGGTTCTAAGCCTCACCTCTGTTGATCCCCAATTTCTCACCTGATGGCCCCCCTGCGACTGTGCCTGTCTTAGATTATTCCTCCCTTGAGGAAAATGAGACAATTTTTAAGAAAATAAATTAAAAAAATTTTTTTAAACCTCTTCTATTGAAGCCTAATTATCCCCAAATTTTTGCAATGTGTAACTTAACAGGAAGAACCATATAACCTCTCTGTTTTTCTTACCTTCAGTTTTTGCAAGATACACTAGATGCACTTTTTACCATAATGATGGAAATGTCAGATAACGAAACGTATGACTTCCTTGTGTTTGATGCACTGGTAAGCGGTTAAACATAAAACTCGTATTTATTCTCACAACCATGTAGTTTTTGATATTTCATGGTTATAAGTAATTGTGAATATCCTTCTGCATAAACATTTTATGTTTATAATCTCACTAATTATGTCTTTAGGCTAAATTCCTAGAAGCAAACTTAGAAACAATTGACTTAAATCCAAGGCCTTTACTTCCCCTCTTAGCTTGCATTTTTCGATATGCTTTCTCACCCTCATTGGGGAAAATAAGAGGTTTTATCACATTAGAAGTCAGGAATCACTTCAACTCGCTTTAAATTAAGGTATGCCTGGTCATAAGCCAGGAGATTCCATTAGTAGACAGTTGTGTTTGGTTGTTGTGTATGTATATAGTGTGTGTTTGTGCAAGGGGGACTGAATTCACAAGTGAGAGATGAATCTCAGCGTCATTATGTACAGTACACACCCAAGAGACAATTAAATTTGTCATGCCAAGTACTTCAACATACAGCTCATCCCAAGAATGGGAAGCCGAGGTAAGGAGAGGTGCTGTCAGAAGCTGGGAAGGCTAGAGGGGCCGTGGAGTGAAGGGAGCTGACACCTCCACCCCAAGCATCCTTGTCCCATCATTGGGAGTTCAAGTTCAGTGCAGAATTCTACCTGGATGCTGCAGCGAAGAATATTAGGACAAGCACTGGCTTGGGGAATTGGTAAATTCAAGAAGTGGCCAGGGTGTTAAAGCTAAGGATGTAAGGTGAAGAGAGGAGATGCTGCAGCTAAGGTCACACCTGGTCAGGTTTAGGGGAAAGAGAGACTGTGGTTATGGGTTCCGAGGGACGAGATCTGGAGCCAGACTGCTGTGGGACAGAGCTGCTGACAGCGGGCCTCGGTGGAAGTCCGAGGGCCCCTGTTTTTGCTCTCCTGTCAGGAAAGTGCGCTGTGGTTCTTTGTAGATTATGCACCCGACAGCCATGAGTTAACTTAATAGGGGGAACCGGGAGGTCAAAATCTGGTGAAGCCAGTTCCCGAGGCACTCACGCTGCACTCAGGAGTAGAGTGTGGTGGAAGATCTCGTTAGCTACATCCCTGGGTTGAGTTCATCTTTCCCACAGGAAGCCCCTTCACCTGTCTTGCTTTCTCCCCCATCCCGTTTTCCCCTCTGACTTGGGTTACCCATGTGCTACCCTGCTCCACCACAGCGAGCTCCCTGAGGCCAGAGATGCCGGCTTTTACTGGTCTCTTCACAGCGTTTGACATGGTGCCCGACACATAAGTGTCTATTCATGATAAATAAAAAGGAACCCCTGAGACTTTGCCTCAACCCTGGAATAGTGAAGCGGGAATGCTACAGAAATGCATGAGGAATTAAAAAAGACAGTGAAATGTTAAGATCTGCTTGTTGACTGAATGCCTGAGGATTTACGGTGAGGAAGGTCTAGGCTTATATGTGCTGCTGTTCATGCTTGTCCCCTTCGGCAGGTATTTATTATCTCACTGATTGGGGACATCAAGTTCCAGCATTTCAATCCTGTCCTTGAAACCTACATTTACAAGCACTTCAGTGCCACATTGGCATATGTGTAAGTAAGATTCAGTTACCTGCATTTTACTCTCAGGGTGGGCTTCTGAGAAGACAGAGGGACGGAAGGTGAGTAAGTGTGCCTCAAAATGCAGAAACTTGTTCTGAGCTTGCTGGTGGAAAGAGAGAACCGTCTGGGTGTTCTGACCCTGGGAAAGGTAGTAACGGTCAGACGCTCCCTTCTGGGAAGTTTCAGAAGAGATAGGCTGTATTTCTTTAAGCATTCAAAACTTACATAGGTGAGGAGTTGAAGCCCTTGGGAGCTCAATCAAGGCCAAAGAACCAACTCAGGATCTTAGGAGTTAGGATAGCACGTAGCCCCAAGGGCATGTAGCTGTGGGTTAAGCAAGGCCAAGTGGAACCTGAGGGTCATGCCCTCAACCCTGCCCCACAAGTGCTTTGTGGAATGTATTACTCAAAGGATGCGAGAGGACCACATTTTTTTTCTTTTGCACAAGAGGGAAGGTCTCTGCCTTTTCCATAGTGCAGCTTTCTTTCTGTCTCTGGTTTATGAGCTGCTGACTAGGGAAAGCAGTTAACGTTTAGTCTGTGCTTCACCCTGGAGTGCTCAGCTCACCGTGGCTGTTCTGTGGCTGATGGCCCCTCCCCACCCTTGCATTCGGTCACTATACAGAGCAATCCGATCAGCAGGGACGAAAGTGTAGTCGAGATTGGCAAAGACCTTTCAGGCAGCAGCTTATGCCAGATCACAGCAGTTGCTGCGGGCTGATCTATCAGGGTGGCTGCTGACGCAGTTTGTCAGCTCAAAATCACTTTGATTCCTTGTGTCCTTTTCTGAACTAAACAAGGCAGTTTGTGGTTTATTTGCAGGTGACCCAGAAATGTAATACGACATAAGTGACGTAAAAGAAGTGTTAGGTCTCATCATGACCAACTTGTGCAGTGGACACAATGCCCGCTGGGTTGGGGGCAGCAGCAGTTATGCCAGGGATAGGGTTCTTCCCATCCGGGATCCTCATTGTGCAAGCAGGCAGTAGCTGCAAGTGCGTAAGTCCTGTCGCTAGATCTTCATTACATAGAGCCAAATGCAGCACTCCAGGTGGGAGAGAGAGGGGCTTATTGGCAAGACTTGATCAATTCTGCATGTTTCCTGGGGGTCTTCCTTAATACTAGGGGAACTCCGAGATCCCCAGAAGGAAAGTTCAAAGTATCAGGGTCCTGCAAAATTTGAGTCAGCACAACACTAGGAAAATGGCACCAAAGACTCTGGAAGTACACAGAGAGTATCTAAAATCCCAGCCCGCTTTTACATGTTGGGGTACTCAGAACTGTGGGTGTTCCGGTCAGACTGAGCCAGAGTCAGAGTGAGTTCCTCTTCCCACACTCAATGAAGTTTCCCTCTGGCTCCAATTCAGGGATCCCAAAGTTTGGGTAGGCTGATGACTTTAAGCGGTTTTTTTTAAGGTCTACCTTAGGCCGACAGTCCCTGCCTGACAGGAACATCTGGAGACATCTCTGGAACACATTAGAGATTTAAAAAATCCTCATGATTCAAATCCCTTTAACTCCTGCATTTGTTCATCCTTTTAAAAAATATTATGCAGGGAAAGAAACCATCCTATTTCTAAGCAAAAAGGAAGCTACAAAACTAGAATGCAGTCAGAAGACTGAGCTACAAAGGGGTTAAATTCCATGTTCAGGGAAGATTTGAGAAGAGATAATTATGGTCGTGACTTCTACTTCCCCAGGATGCCCAGTTCCCTGCCTATGTAACTCACCCCAAGCTTCAGAGCCTCATTTTGCCCCATTGACATTTATTCTCTCTCACCCTTTTAAGGAAACTCTCCAAGGTACTGAACTTCTATGTGGCTAACGCAGAGGACTCCAGCAAGACGGAATTGCTTTTTGCTGCTTTGAAAGCCTTAAAGTACTTGTTTAGATTCATCGTCCAATCTAGAGTGCTCTATTTGAGGTAATAGTAACTGCAATAAGATGATTATGCTATCCGTTTTGTCTTCATGTAGTTTTCCTTAATCCTCATGCTTATGTTCCACTCTCTGCACTGCTGGGTCATGGAATTGCCAAATTTTAGAACTTCAGGGCTGAAGGTGGAGGTAGACAATGACACTGTTAGAATCGATGTGAAGTCCTTTTGCATTAGGATTTCTAGGAGAGTAATGATGGCAAGACTTCGGGGTACAGGTGCCTAAAATACGTAGCTTGCTAAAAGTCTTTGTTGGTTATACCAGCTCTAGGAAGTCAGGTTCCTGTGGGAAGATTGTATTTAATACAACAATAGAGCTGTTGCTTGTAGTAGATGGAGAATGGTAGTTGTTTGGGGGAGATGTTTCCTGAGGTATGTGTTTCTTTGCTGACGCCATGCTTAGCTACCTGATGAAACTAAGTCATCAAGATATGCCTTGTATTTTAATACTTTTAGGAATATAAATTCTGAAGCACAGAAATTTGGCAATATGAATAAAAAGCAAAAAAAAGGAAACCCTCAAAAAGCAAAAGAAAATACTACATTTGTCCTTTAATACCCCCATCATAAAGTTTAACTAATGGAAAATAAAATACATCAGGTGTGAACAAAGATGAATGTCAAAGTATATATTCAGCCCTTTCAAGTGTAGGGCATGTTAATGAGGAAAGATAACCATGATAAATTCTCAAGTAATAAAACTAAGGCAGTAGACGTAAGTGCAGTATGATAACTTTCAAAAATATTAACGTGTTTGGAAATGGAAAGATAATAAGCTAAAATTTTAATAGGAGCAAAGCCGTAGGTAGGAGGGCTTTAAATAGGTTTATTTTTTATTCTTTCTGCATTTTAAGTATTTCTACAATGCATTTTTATATTTTTATACTTCTTAGAAAGGATTACTCACTTAAAAATTCAGCTTCCATGACTGACTTCTCTAGTAGAAGCAAGCAGTTTTGCCCAGCACAGAGCTTATGCAGTCTCTGTAGTTATGCCCAGTCTTGGTCTTTAGATGGTCTTCTTTCATAGTTAGCACCTTGCATTTGTAATGTTAGCATGTGGAGTGTCCTATTGAAGGCACAGTCCATGCCCTAAAAGTTTACTCATGTATCAAGCCCTGATGTCCAGCAGTCAGAATCATCATAAACCCATCAAAAGAAAGTCTTAATTTTTGAAATTAAAAAATATTTTCAATTGGTGATTCATTAGTTCTATTGCCCTTCCTAATGTTGCAGTGTGTCCGGGCCATGATTTTTAACCTCATATAGGATGATAATAACAATGGAAAAGCCACGTTATTAACCCATGAAATGAGCTAAGAGAGTTGCTATGTTGAACTTAGTCACCCATAGCCTGCTTATGGTTATTTTCTCCCTGACATTTTCTCATTAAAGGAGAGCTTGTTCTAGGAGTGAGTCTGGCAGACTACATTCTCTAGTTGCTCAGATTTGATAGACATACCAGGTTACTGTCTCTGTCCAGGGCTGCAGATGAAATGCCACATGCCCCTCCTACCCCCCATTTGCCCTCAGCAGAGCTTAAATTCCTCTTCTGAGCTCAGTACCTGGCTGGAGTTTACCTCAACTAGGGAGACATGTAGGGAAAACTGAAATTGTAAATTGTGCACAATAGGACATTGAGAAGCTTGATCTTAAGTCCTCAGTCTCTTGGTAGTACAATTTTAAAAGGTCACTTGCATAGGGTGCCAGGCACCCTTCTGGGTGCTGGGGATCTAATGACAGAGGAGACACAGTCCCAGCTCTGGTGGGACTTGTGGGATACATCGAGGCCAGGGAGACAGATAGTAAAGAAAGAAACCATGAGATCATTTCAGGTCAGTAAGAGCTGGCAGGGAAGCCAGGTGTGCTGGTGGGCTGAGCTGGTGGGAGGAGGCCTGTCTGGGAATCAGCATTTTGAGTTGAGTCTCTGGGGAGGGAATGCAGGGGACAGGAACTGCCCAGGCAGGAGCCCTGACGGGTGAGTGGCAAGTGTCTGGAATCCAGAGAAGCCTGGCAACTGGAATGAGAGCATGGGAATGGTAGGCAAATGACACATGGTGTGAGGGGTTTTACTCCAAGTATCATAAGAAGCCACTAAGGGATTTCCATTAGAGAAGTAGTAAAATCTTACATTTAAAACAATCATCTGAACTCTTAGGTGGAAAACAGATTGTCAAGGGTTAAGAGTGAACCCTGGGCAACCACTTCATAGGCTGTTGTAGGTCAAGGTAGAGGTATGCTATCTAGTGGCTCTCTCTGCAAGGAGATGGAGCTGGGAACAAGGGGAAGAGATAATGGCATGTAGATTTGGTGGGAGAATGAGAAAAAGAAGAAACATAGATAACTTCTAGTGCTTTTTGCCAAGACTAGGAATACTGAAAAATGACTAGGAAAATCAAGTGAGTTCTCTTAGGTATGCCAATTATAGACTAAATTGCAAATAAATGTCTTTTCTAGTTGCATAGAATAGATGCATTGAGAATTACCAGTAACCCTCTGATTGAATAATTTTCTCAGAGAAGTTCATATTCTGTAAGTACCTTATAAGACATAGAACAGAGGAGACTGATTTAACCCTGTATATGCATGTGTTTGTATATATGAAATTCTTATTTCAAGCTATTCCTCTTCTTGACCAGTTGGTGGTAAATTGCCACCTTGTATGAATGCACTTGGACTACAATTTGGGGCTTTTGTGTTTCTGAGAAATGGACCAGAGATTTCCTGATTTCTCCTTTGGAGAAAGAACCAAGTTTTCAGTTGATGGACAGATCTCAAACACAAGCAGAATACTTTAATCAAAATGAGCACAGATCAGTGAAAGCTAAGGCATCTTGTGTCCTGGGAGGGCCCTGTTGGTGAGCAGGTTGACACCAGCACAGCCAGTTCAGTGGATAGAGTGACACTAAAGAGACTTGCAGATGGCACTGGGTTCAGAATGTTTCTGGCTTGAGTTGCTTCTCCACCCATTGTCTGCGACTTTAACTCAAACAATCAGGACTTGATAAAGTGAGACAGAATGATTAGAAAAGGAGAATGAGGAAGGGGCAGGTGGAATGCTGGAGAGGATGTGGCACGAGGGTGTGTCAGGAAAATAGATTGGGGTCTCCTGCTTGTTGGACACGCAGCCAGAGGGCTGAGGAAGGCAGGCAAGCATGCAGGACCCATCTGCTACGTCAGGCAGAGCACCTTCCTACTGGTCCCTTCTCTGCTGAAATGCCTGCACACGTCGCCAAGACCATGGCCTGAGACAGCTTCAAGGGAATCCTTCCCAGCCAGCTGGGCGCAGGGCACCAAGTGCAGAGCTCGGCAGTAGGCCTGCACTTTAACTCAGGCAGAACTGCCATACAGATTACTGCCCTGCTCTCATTCACGTGGTAGTATCTTCTCAGCCTACTGGCTTCTCCCTGAAACCACCTGAAGGCACCCGGGACTTTCTCTGCATAGTTGGAAGTGTTGACCAGGGTGGCCTGGGCCTCCAGCATTGCTTATCCAGTACATCTGTTTGAAAATTCTTTTTTCAAACATTTTCCATTCTTTTCAAGATGGAAATCTGACTGCTTTTCTCTTTCTCCTGTTAAGATTTTATGGCCAAAGCGAAGATGGGGATGAATTTAATAATTCAATACGCCAGTTATTTCTTGCTTTCAATACGCTAATGGACAGGCCTCTGGAGGAAGCTGTCAAGATCAAGGTCAGCATGGCGTCAACATGGGTAACGTCTAATGCCGGGACATCACACAACTGGTGGTGGGGAAACAAAGTAAACCGTAATTCACAGAAAGCTTGTGGGTTTTAGTATGACTTATAAAAACCCACGTTTTGACTTCTGTGCACACTTACTTGTATTCTCAAATGTCAGTTTGCCAAAGACAAACTACCCCCTTTTAAACAACCTTGAATGGCTTCTGTGGCCTCTGTGAATTCAGCCAGTTGATCCTGATGTCAACAGGCTATAGGCTTTTATTCCTCCTTTCCTTTTCCCAGAAGCCCGAAGTCACCATCATCTTTATCTTTTAATGTTTTTCATGTAAAATGTGTCATCTCTGCAGAGTCAGATTTGAACTTTGTTATTTATTCTTTGCTCTTTATGGCAACTTTATGAGGGAGATGTGAAGATTTTAACTGCCTCCTTGGATAGAAAAAGGAATCCTAAATAGAGAGTTCCTTCTAACTTTCAGGAGAAAATTTTAGGAGATCACATGCAGCAACGTTAGCTCTGCTCTCCATTACAAGAGCGCTGTGTCCAGGTCCCTGTTTAAGACCCCAGCTTTTTCTTCCTAGGATTAAGCAGTAAATTCTGTGTGTGTTCTGCTTGGGAACTGAATTTGCCTTTGATATTTTTCTTCCAGGGGGCGGCTTTGAAGTACCTTCCTAGCATAATTAATGACGTCAAACTTGTGTTTGATCCCGTGGAGCTCAGGTAAATAGCAAAAGCCTTTGTTTCTTGATGTGAATGGAGAAGCCGCCTCCCTGTGTGGCTGGGGCCTGGCCTGCTACGCACGCACGCTGCTGTTCTCCTAATATGTATTAACTGAACACCTCTTGTCTTGGTTCTGTGGAAGGGACCAAGGACGACACAGAGCCTGGCCCTGGGAGAGGTCTGCACTTTCCCTGGGGAAACAAGACAGGCAGACATAAAATGAACCTCAGTAGAAAATGCACAGTAATATGCTTCCAGCCCTATACCTACACATCCCAGGAATGCAGAGTCAGGTGGCAAACAATATCGGGGAGGAATCAGCCGGATACGAACTCGGCAGAAGTTGTGTCAAGGCAGGGCCGCAGCACCGTGCTGGCCTGCGCAGCAGGGTCAGCTCTCGGGCTGAGCTGGGGAAGGAGCAGGAGGCCGTCTCGTCTTTATTTCCTGGAGATAGACTCTCAGGAGGTTTGGGAGAGATTTCCACGTAAAACTCTCCACGCCCAAATCTCAGTAGAGGCGTCGGGTGTGATGACACCTTCAGCCGGGCAGAGTGGAAGCACTAACCACTGGGCTCTCCCTTCCAGTGTGCTCTTCTGCAAGTTCATTCAGAGCATTCCCGACAACCAGCTGGTGCGCCAGAAACTGAACTGCATGACCAAGATAGTGGAGAGCAACCTTTTTCAGCAGTTGGGTAAGTTGCTGCTGTTTATGGAAATTCCAGTCTCACGGCTTCTGCAGATACACTTGCCCTTTTTTTTTTTTTTTT